TTTAAGTACTTAGAATCGAACGTCTGGAACTCGTCTTCTCCGCTATAAAGAACGGGCTCTTACTATTGCGTTGTTTCAAAAAAGTTTATCATAGGTATAATAAATAAAATCAAATTTTAATGCATGTCAGTCATACAAAATGATATAATAATTAGTATAAGGTAGGTTTGAGCACTGAAGTTGCACTACGTAACGATCATAGTGGGATTTGAATCCACTTGCGGATCAAAACCATCGTAGTTCAGACAAATGCCCTGTTATAAATAACCAATTCCATTGGGATTTTAATTTCGGTGATAGACATAAGCTTAATTTTTTGGTACGTGGGATTTTAGTGATCTTTGACGGATTCACTCATAAAAGTAAAATGAACCACCTTGGTTGATGCAAATCATCCCGATTAGTGATTACCAAAAGTGTCCTTTTGAACAAGACAATTCAAAAAATTTGTCCCAATTGACGACTTTTTTAGTGGGTCAAGGTATTTTTTGGAGTGAAACGATAAGGGTTCACTATATAATCTCACTTTAGGTCTAAAATCACTCGAGGGTAACTTTTGTAATGTTTTAAGGGTTGTGTGTTTAGGCTGATTGAATTGGCGAAATAAAACACGACACCTGTCAAGGCCTTACTTCCAAATAAAAGGGAACAATAAACTATTTAATCATATCCGATTGTCAATTAATCCATCGAGGAATTATAGTGGTATATAGGCTTATTTTTATGAAAATGGATAATTGATACAACCTTATAAAACTAAATAATTAATCTTAACCTCATGTTTGGAAATGAGGCTATAACCTTATATTAATTATCATTAATCATTTAAACAAGCATGCAAAGTTATGATTAATTCTTGTGTTACAAGAGGATTTGAAATAAAGTGTTCACCAAATTTATAAAAGACTTTTATTTCTGAAGTTGTCTTAAAATAAAATTAATTTTTCTTAAAACTCTTTTAAAATCATCTTAAGATAAAGTTAAAGTACTAAAAAGAACTCTTTTATTTCTAAAGTCATCTTTAGATAAAATTAAAGCTCCCTAAGATTTCTCTTATTTCTAAAGTCATCTTTAGATAAAGTTAAAATTAAAATAAAATCACTTAACAATAAAAATTTATAAGTTAAAATTACATAACATAGTGTAGGTCTTTAAACTCACCATAAGAAGGAAATTATTATTAGTATATATTTTAGACAGATATACATTAGACAAAATATATGCAAATGCAACTAAACCCCCTTTTTTTCCATATCCTATCACCTCACCAGTAGGCTTGGTTTTTTAATATGGAGTAATGAAATATTTAGGGCTAATTTAGCACCTAATATCCCCATTACTCCTATTGGTAACATCACATGGAAAAAAACACGTTAGTTAGTATAATAACAATAATAATTAAGAAAATTGAGAAAGGAAGAAGAATAATACTTTGAGCTAGATCTAGCTATTTTTTAGATAACACCTTTAGCTTACCAAGATAAAAAAGATGAGATTTTCTTAATTAAAGTGAATTAGGAGAAGGCTAAATGATATTTTTGAAACTTTTGAGATATTAAGAGAAACAAGTGAAAATAAAGCTAATGAACTTTTTTGGATTTTTGATTAAAGAAAACAAACTTGAATTAAATCTTGAAAATTAAAGCTAGATCTTAAGAAATTGACTTTTTTTTTTGGTTTTTTTAATATGGGCTAGAAATTCTTAAGCAATTAAACTAGTTTTTTTTGTTTAAACAAAGATAAAAAAAATAACAATAATACTTGAACGTAAAGAAAAATATTTTTTGTGGTTTGTAGGAATTAGAGACAATAACAATACTTAAATAAAAATAGAAATGGTAGTTTAACTAGATGATGCTTTTTTATAAGCTAATAACTTAAAAATAAATCTAAATTAGAGGGAATTTAACTAAAGCAAAAGATTAGAGAAGAATTTTTTAGAGAGAATTTTTAGAGAGAGGTTTTTTAGGCTTTTTGGTGTGTTAAAATGAGAAAATTAGGGGGGGGTATTTATAGGAAAAGAAATGGGTTAATTTGTAAAATAAAAAAATAAAGGATAATTAAAGGGTTTAGATTGTAAATATCTAGATTTTGGTAATAATGAAAATCTTTTTATTAAATTCTTCTGTTTTATATGTAACAAACTAATTAATCTATTTTAAGAAACTTAAAGTGATAAAATAAAGTAAACCGTAACTAAATTAGACTCTAATAATTATATAATAAAAAAGTGCTAAAATGCCATGGTATTACAAAAAGAAAAATATATAACATTGTCATGTCAAAACTCAAAAATACTCACGTGACATACATATGATAGAGTACCTAAACCACTTAAGTGATTATTCATGAACCTCTTAATTTATTACACTCATAAGGTACTGAAACAATACTTATAAAATAAACATCTCCCTAAGATATCAGCTCTGAAATTTACTCAAGGATATAAGGTTATAATACTAATAGAGCGGATAGATTATGTTCAAGGCTTATACCTTAACTTTTACCCTTATTAGATAGTTCATATAAATTTACAAAAGAAAATCCAATCATACGACAAAATCTTATAAAGCAAAAGTATTACAAACAATGAAAAATAATGACCCTTTCTGACAAAGGTGAAGTATAAAGTATTGTGAATTACCTTATATATACTATTTAAGATCATAAAACGTAATGTTGACGTGGTCAAGGGTAAAGTATACTATGTAAAGTCACACAACATAAAGTTGACGTGGTCAAGGGTAAAAATTATTCCCTTAATCGGACAACCTTAAAAAGTGTAAACCTTTATCCTGTCTTATTTTAATAAAGCATAAATTTATATTTATCACGATCGTATTATTTCACTATTAGAAATACAGTTACACTAGTTAGTTATCGCTTGAAACAGAATATAAATTATTTCTCACAAGGATAAAGAGGCAAGATCCCTAATTCACGCTACATCCTTATGTGAGAATAAAAGCCAAAGTACCTTCCATGGCTATCCATTGAGAACAAGAACACTATTGCCACTATATTCATACAACATAACATTCCATGGCCATCCATGAATCACTCACATCCATGCTTCAATAAATGCTCTTAAATATTAGTTGAGATAGCCGATCATGAACTGAAATTTATCAGATCCAATATCAACTACGGGATGAAAAGGCAGTATTATTTTAGTTTGCGGCTCGTAGTGGTAAAAGGTGCACATCAAAGGAGGTCCTTTTAGTACTATGATGTGTAATACTTTTTTAGGGGTGACAATCTTTATTGTAGGAAAAAAGGAATGTTTGTTATTTCCCTACTTTTGTTGGGCATTAATCTTTGGAGTAGTTAACTTTTATAAGTAAACTGACCAAATTTGACTATTGTGCACGGGTCGTAAAAATTAATAGACAAAAAAAATATTCTCTAATACTCTAAAAGAAAATACTAATACACTTATCACACTTTGGAAGGTCAAACAATGCTTGCTTATAGCTCCATAAAAAAAATGACACATTTTCGTGGCGAGACAAGATGTCGTACTTTATACTATACGATTGTCATACATATACGTATAATAATACGGTAAAATATACACATTTTTTTACTATAAAAAGGAGATTACCCTTATCCAAATCTCCACTCACCACTCATTTCTTATCTCCTTCTATCTTCCTTCTTACTCGAAAAAACCAAGCAAAAATCTCCATTAATTCGGCCACTATGTTCCAAAATAACCAAGAAGATAAACCTATCTTAACCTTCAAAGAAGACATGAGAATGATAAGGGTGTACTTCATGTACATTGTGGGGTTAGTGGTCCTCCTGATGGTAGTGTTAATTTACTTATTAATTAACAAGTGAAGTCCGACATTACTTTGGTGGAGCAGGGTAAAAATGCATGTGGTGTTAGCTGTACTTCAATATTTTGTAATTTAGTAGTTTAGAAGTACAAATTGATACATGTATTTTGGAAATTATGAATAAAAATTATTATTATTACTCATAATAATAATAAAATAAAACGATAGCAAAATAATAATTGTTGCAAAACTAACAATTATAATAATAAAAATAAAAATAAAAATAAAAATAATGATATTTATAATAGTAGTAGTAGTAGTAGTAGTAGTAGTAGTAGTAGTAGTAGTAGTAGTAGTAGTAGTAGTAGTAGTAGTAGTAGTAGTAGTAGTAGTAGTAGTAGTAGTAGTAGTAGTAGTAGTAGTAGTAGTAGTAGTAGTAGGATCAAAATTAGGTGTCTATACATAGGGCCCAAAGAGGACAATATCTACTAGTGGGCTCATGTTGACCTGGGGTGTTACAACTAAGAATGATCATTGATGTGATCTTGACTCCAACATCTCGTAGTGGCTCGAAAAACTTGGACATCATCGAAAATCTGGAAATTCCTACAAAGTAAGTACCAACTCTATAAAATACTAGAAACACATATTAGTAACAAAAGTAGCCCTGTAAAGCTCAAATACGCATAAAAATGACCTTGGGATGGGGAATAAAATTGCATATAAAATACACCTATCACTCCTTCTTCTGGGCTATTTGGCTTACGCGTAACTAATGTATTTTCAAGTTAGCAGTTTGGTCCCCTACCACGATCTTTCACTTATTAGCTGATTGGGTTTCTCAAAATACCTAGGCTTGGTTTTCCAGTGTCAGCTTTCCTCCTCCCGTAGGCATCGTTTTCCCCTCCTCGGAATTGAACTTCTTGGTCTGGTTGTCTACGTGGAAGTCGCACTGATCCCCTTCATTGTTGTCTACTTTTCGATGGTGCTTGGAATTCTAAGGACAACAGTGCAGGCGTAGGTTGGATTTTTTGAGGTAGGCTCATTCGGATAAGGTTCTCGGTGGATGTGCTAGGGCAGGTAGAATCTCGCCTACTCTTCAGGCGGAACTATAGGCTTGCTTATGCGCTCTTAGGCCTGCTATCCGAAAGGGTTATCTTCGCCTTCTCATTTATATGGATTATGCTACTCTAGTTTCTCAGTCTATCAGTGTAGCTTGAATTATATTTCTTGTGTTTGACTGCTTCAAGATATTAGGGAGATTCTTCCACAATTTTTCGTTTGCATGATTTATAAGGTTTCTTGTAATTAGGTTATACCCGTTCACTGGTTGGTTGTGCGTGCTCGTTAGAGTGACAAATCATGTGTATTTTGTTAATTTGTTGTGATCTTTGTAAAAAAAAAAACAAAAAAAAAAAAAAAAAAAAAACGGAACCGAATAGATACCTGAAAGCGTAAAATCAAGACTCCTCTTTTAAGTACGAACTCTATGTTCATTCCTGCCGCAAAACCGGCATAAATATTATGCCCATCTTCCCCGTCTTAACTTGACGAACTAGTTTGGCTATGGTGGATTAGGGCGTCTTCAATTTCAATTCAAACCCTGAAATAACAATTCTTTTCAATCCCAAAATTTTCCAATTATTACCAAACAACTGTATTCTTGATAAACCCCAAAAATCGTTTTGCAGAAATCAGGAAATTAGTGAAGCTATTGAGAGATAAACCTTATTCAATTGATCATAGATTTGATAAATTATGTCTCTTCCTTCGATTGAGTTTGCGTATTTGACGGGCGATTTTCTTCGTCAATTGAAAGATGGAGACCCTAATTTGAAATTGCCAAATCCCGTTCCTGTTCTTCGCTTCCTTTTCGAGCTCGTGTCGTCTATGGTTTATTTCTATCCTTTTCTGTCAATTGAATTGAGTTGAGTTATTTTTTGAAAATTTGAATTATTTTCTAAGTTTAATTTGTGGGTTTTTTGATTTTTCAGGTATATGGTACTTTGCCGTTTCAGAAATGTAATGCGGCGTTGGATGCGGTTGAGTTTTCTGATGTTATTTCAGAGGAAGAGTTAGGTTCTTATTTTGCGGATATTGTTACACAAATGGCTCTTGATGTGAGTAGTCGATTTCCATTACTCGTATTTTCACATCGTAAAGTCTTATAGATTATGGAAGACTATACTTTAATGAGGAAACATTATATGTATGAGCTCGTATAAACTTTCCATTATGACCTGCTTCTGGTTTAGAACTATGTCTGCCTGTGCTTATGGCCTATCAGAATTTAATTTTAAGAGTCTGGATAATTTTGCGGACATTTGGTTGATACCATTGTCACATGAAAGTGTACCACTGCTATGTTACTACCATGTCTAACTCAGTGAAGAGCACGTGTGCATACCCCCTCCTAGTCATGTGTGATTACATGTACAATATCCATACCCATTAGTATAAACTATAAACATGTACTCACCTTTGCTCATCATCTAATTGGATATCTAAAACCCTTAAATACTTGCCTATTACTATTAATCTTTACCTGTGTAAAGTATTTACAAGTATAAACCACATTAGATTTGAGTTTTGTGGCTTAAAGAGTGATGAGTAATACTACGTATTAATGAGGTTGACATCATATAGGCTTTAGGTTAGGGCTCATGAGCTGTCAAGAGTGTTGACTTCCATATTTAAGCTTGGATTAGTTTACCTAATTTTTGTGGGTACAAGGTTTTGTTGGGTTGGCAAGCGGTTATGGGCCAAGTGGGCGGGGCGAATGAGAGGCGGATTGAGCTAGATTTGTGGTAGGTGCGATTTCATGTTTACTAACCTAATGATTATCTATACTGGGTGTGTTTTGTATTCGCCTACTAGGCTACTACCCTTTAAAGTCGCAACCAAATCCACTTGTGGAATTCCAGAAATTGTATCCACTTACTATCCATATCTCCTTTTGTTTACCATCCTTTTGATTTTTTAGAGAGAAGAGGGGGATTGTAAGGTGGTAAGATCCCTTCTATATTGATTGACCATGCCATATGAAATGGTTTATAAGTTAAGTCTTTAATATTGAATACTCATTGTATGCATTTTATCTCTTAGTTTTACCTGCTCTCATGATTGGTTGTTATACCTAGAACAGTAAATATATTTTCTCAGGTGAAATTTATAACACCAGTTATAACTAGGGTCATTACTATTTAAATGTTCCTAAATGTTTTTTAATCACAATGTTTGAAATTTTACACTATTCACACACTCCTATGATAATCTTTGATGATTCAGACCTTAGAAAAATCCGAAAAACGTAGTCATGTGGGGAGTAATAATGTAAGATATGGGTTCGACAAGCATGAAACTCCAAACATTAAAACTAAAAAGAATGGAGGAAGTATTAATTAGAGATTATCCCAACTTATATGGTAATTTCACTAACCAATCCTTAACTTTAACTAGTTTAAATTGCCACATTTTATGTTTTCAACAGTTCTAATTAAAAAACATTTTTCAACCCCTTTGTGTACATTCTTTCTCAAGTCTCTTTATCAATCCACATTTCTCTCTCTCTGCCCACCCTCCGGGAACCCAAACTATCTCAATTTCTAACTCACTTGAACCACCACCCTTACTTTCGCTTCCAGCCAATCTCCGTACACCCACTTTCAACCTTACCTTTGCCTTGCGTAGCTTAGACCTTGCAAATCTGACAAAACCCACCACAAATTTAATTTCTTGAAAGTTGAAGAGAGAGAGAAGATTTCAATTCCAACAAAACCCACAAATTTCTTGAAAGTTTTGAAGAGAGAGAAAGAAGATCTAAAACAGATAAAGAGAGATAAGGTGATTGAAAGAGGAGAGAGAAAATATGGGGGAAGATTAAGATAAAGATGAATGAAGGTGAATACAAATGAAGATGGATTTTGGTTAGTTGAATTGAAGATTAAGATTAAATAAAGTAGATTAGGTTGGTTCATTGGTTGGTTGGGGTGAATTAAATTGGGTGAGAATTAGTGATGAACAAAATCTAATTGTACTTAGTAAATTGTGTTTTAATTTTTTAAATAAGGGTATTTTGTTCAAGCTGTTAAGTTTATTTATTTATTTTTATTTTTTTTTTACTAAAAGAGGAAATAATTTTTTTTTATTGCACATAATGTTAAGCGTCCATTTTTAGTAAATGTTGCACATAACGTTTAACGGAGGTAGTAGAATAGATGTAGCAATCGGATCGCATTCTTAATATCAAATAACCAGGAGTGAATTAGCATGAAAGACGTACCTGCTCTTTAATTTTGAAAAATAGAGTGTTGTCTTAAATAAACATTGATGGGGATGTTGGAGGAAAATCATAAATCGTGGAGGGGACAGGGGAGGAGAGAAGAATGAGAGGAGGAACTGATGTTGGTTGCCCTTCTACAAGGGCAGGTTGGCGGCTTCATGAATCTGGGTAGAGACTCTTCTTGTCGTAAAAAAGTTGTGGCAGACTGGCAGTAGGAAGGGGCTGAAGGCGGAAGGGACAATTGATAATTGTTTTGGCACCATTGACATGGGAATGTAAGGGTGTGTGATGGTTATGTGGAAGATACAAAGTGGAGATAGAAGAAATTTTTTTAACCTGTCGTCATTTCAAAAATTAAAAAAAACCCCATTAAGCCATTTACAACTCACATGAGACCATGTTGGGAAGATACTCTTTTACTTGAGATTGTTCATATTTTGATCGAAAGATGGGATAGTCTAATGTCAAATGACTATAATTTGGGGTGATGTTGTCAATTTTTCCACTTTCATATAGCTTCCTATATTCTTTTGATTATGTTAATGCACCATTATGTACCATTGCTCATGTTTTTTCTTATCATTTTGATTTTATTTCTTTAACTGATATTCACAAATGTAATTTCATGCAGCTTACCATGTCCGGAGAAATTCGTGCTCGCCTAATCAAATTGGTTAGTTGTGCATTTGTTGTTTTTGCTTTATTAATATTGGGCTAGTGATGATATGCTCCCTCTGCTAAGCCTTCTAAACATGTCCATTGAACATCATGCAGTTTGGCATTTGATATAGCTCCTCATTTAAGCCTTTTATGCTTTCTATGGGGTTACCTAAGTTCATGATGCATCTTGTTAAACTCATTTGTTTTTTATTAGAGAAAGAAAAGTTGAAAGAATTTTGAGTTGACTTTTTAGGGACTTGGAAAAATAGTTTGTGGGCGACTTTACTTGAAAGTAACATCAACATATCTGCTAATTATTAGAGTGGCTAGATCTTCATATGGATTATGCAGTTCAATAGCTGAAAGTGGAAGTGTTAGTCCTTGATGGAAGAAGGTAACAATATGGTTATACTATGCATCCCCAATTTTTCGTGCTGTAATAAACTTTTATCTACCTTTCCCATATACTATACCCTTATACCAAAATTTGTGCACTTGACCAGATTTTTATGCTATTAAATGTCATTTTATACTCTCCCTCAACTACCCTTATGGCCTTAATTCCAGTATAAAAAAAATAGAATCAGGCACTATAATATGGGGTGAGGTTGTAGTTATTTTACAAACTTGCTGTTGGCTATCTGATGCGTCTGCTTTTGGGTTGTCTATGTAATGCTTAAGCTAATTGCATCAAGTGTAACCTCATGTACTGTGTAGCTATGCTTATATAAAACATCCCAGTTGGTTGGAGTTTTGTAGATTCATGATCCCTCTGTATTGTATCACTATGTTCTATTCTTGCATTATTAATTTTGCATTACTAAGGGCTTGTTTGGTAGCATTTTCATTTTCCAGCTTTTGGTTTCCTAAAAGTAAAAACCATTTTAGTTGTAATAAAAAATAAAACTAAACTACAGTTATATAAATTAAGTATATTTTAGGCTACCTTCAAAAATTAAATTACATAAGCTTGTTATATTACAGACAGAATGTGATTGTCGTCATCTGCGCACTTTGTCTTATTCACCTGTGTTTAGTGTTTCTTCAATTCGATCCTTAAAGAAAAAGGATGACTCTGTTCAATCAACGGATCACTAATTCGTTACAGTTGAGAAAGTCCGAGGTAGTTTTGAAGCAAAACATCACAGGCAAATTTTTATGGGGTTTATGTAATTGTAATAGATCATCTTTCTCTTTGTTTTAGTATTACATTTTTAGTCATCAAGATTAGAATTGCAAGGGGGAGAGAACATGTACAAAATTGCCCTCACCATAAACACCATTTCTGGCCACTTGTAGCAGTACAGGAAGGGGCAACGATAGCTGGGTTTAACAAAAAAAAGAAAAAAAAACCCAAACCTAATCAAACCACTTAATGTGATTTTTTGAATTTTGCTTCGGTTTCTTCATAATTGCTTGGAATTTGTTGCTTTCAACCTTTTCCCGAACATGTTTTGTTTCCAAAATGTTAAAAAAACATGGAAGTCTAAAGTCTAAACACCAAAACATTCCTGAATACCCTCTAAAATGTTTTGTTAGTTACAACTTCTGTTGTATTGGTGCACATAGATGGGTTACATGAAATTTTTATCTAAGTTGAGAAGTCCTTTGGCATAATCGTTGGCCTCATCTTATTACACATCTGACTTTGAATGTAATTGTCCGTTTGCTCTGGCTTAGGCAAGGTGGCTCGTGGAGTGCTCACTAGTTCCAGTGAGGTTTTTTCAGGAGCGGTGTGAGGTTTGTTATTGCATTTCTTGTTTTGATTTTGTTGAAGAATAATTTTATGCTATAATTTTTGACTATTATATTGCCTACGCTTCAGGAAGAATTCCTCTGGGAGTGTGAAATGGTCAAGATAAAGGCTCAAGAACTAAAATCTAAAGAGGTATGCAGTTGGAGTTATTCTTTTAAGTTTTGTCATGCCATCTATCTGTGTTCTTGTCATGTATATTTTTGTACATACCTTTGTACATATCTGTTTTTTTTTAAGAGTTTTAGGCTGTGTGAAAGCTATCGTACCTATCGTACTTGACTTCCCAATATTGGAATGGATTTTTGTAATCTGCAGGTTCTCTTAACTTCATCCTTTAGTTTTCCCCAAACTCAAACAATGTATAATATTATCTAATGTACATACACTTATATGAACTATGGATAACATCTGCTCTCTGGTGGTCAGTAATTATGTGAAATAGAAAAGTGATGTAGCTATAGGGAAAAAGAGGACGGAGAGATGAAGGTTTAGCAGGGGATGAAATTTGAAAGTGAGAATTATTGTAATTATGAAATTTACAATGAAATCTACTCAGTTTAGGGCCCTGTGGTCATAGAACTCTCAATTATAAAATTTGATTGTTTTCCAAGCAATCCAAAGGAAACTTAAAACAATGTTACTCCCTCTTTCCACTTTAGTTCGAACACTTATCACCTCAAAGAGCTGTAAGGGATAAGTTGTGGTTGGGTTTGTTACCCCTTTTATCCCATTTCCACCTTTTCACTCTCTATTTTTTTCATACACCCACCTACTTTTTTTTTTCTCCATCTCTCTTACTTTATTTACTTTTTCTTACTCCATCGTTTTGAATTTAACCTTGGTTTGCAAGTCTACAATGTGAGTAGAATTCAATAACAGAGATACTATTTGTATTTATTAATAATACCTTTGTCTTGAATTATTTAAGAAATCAATATTTTTACAAAGTACAAGTACCCGTTGAAAAAATGATCTACTTATACTACTAGGTTACTCCACTGGTTAGACATATGTGACTACTAAATTAGCATTTGGTGAACAAAAGTTTTAGAAGTGTTGTTAACCATCTGTACTGGCTTTGCTAAATCAATTTCCTTCCTTTATTCTATTTAGTGTTTTAGCTTATTAGGGTTCATTAGTTTTGATAAGTCCGTCTCTCTCTCTTCTTTTAACAATTCTCTTTGTTAGATGCAATAAATTTAATTTCCACCCACCATTATTTACTTGCTTCTCACTGGGTAGCTGATTGGATTATTAATTCAATTTTATGGGAAGTCTAATGTGATTGTTTTCAAAGTTTCTCTTTTTTGACTAAATGACTAAGTTTTCAAATTAGCAACCAGTAAAAGTGCTTATACTTCAAATGTTAAAAACAAAAGTACGTATTTGGTGAGGCAGTTACTCATTTATAGTACTCTATACCATTAAGGTTGATTTTGGCAAAAATTACTCAATCCTCTCTCTTTTTCTCCTCTTTTTTGTTTAGCAATATCTCTTGTTGGAATTAAAGGCTTTGTTTTTTTAGTCAGCAACATCTCTTATTTAATGTGTTTTTGTTGTTTCAGGTTAGAGTAAATACTCGTCTGTTATATCAGCAGACAAAGTTCAACCTCCTTCGAGAAGAGAGTGAGGGCTATGCCAAGCTGGTATGTATCTTGAGAAAAAAAACATTAACTGTGATGATGTGGATTATGGGCTTCATTGGTCAGAGTTTCTGATAATAATTAGTCCAAGCAATGTTCTGTGAATGAGTTTGATTTTTTGATTCAATGTACTTTTTGTTTTATTCATGCCTTCAGACATTTACATAATCTTCTTGTCACTATTTTACTTGGATTTTTTATTTTATTTTATTTTATTTTTTTAAATTAAGGACCCTCTATCTCATTGTCCTTATTGATTGCAATTCTCATCGATTTGGAAGGAAAGAGAAGACGTGTGAAAGACCTTATACTTGAATGTTTGTTTCATGTGATTTCTAGTTTTGCATTGAAGCAATTATTTGCTGAATGATCTTCCCCTAGTGAGGTTGTTTGAATTATCAAAGTTGTTGCATGACAGTTTGCATGTTCATCATTTGTGTTTATCAAAGCTGCTTATGCTATATGCTGTAGGTAACCCTTCTTTGTGAGGGTTCAGGGGATCCTAACTCATCGTCCTCAAAGATCGGCACTATTAAGGTTTAATTCTTTCCCTTTTTGTGATATTGGCAGTCTTATTATATTTCTGCTTGAACTGACTGTGTAAATTTTGCAGTCCTTGATTGGTCACTTTGATTTGGATCCAAATCGTGTTTTTGATATTGTAAGTTGGTGCTGATTATCACCTGAAATAGGCCTATGCATATGGTTTTCTATTCTTTGCATTTTTTGATTAATTTTATTGTTCATCTTTTTAGGTCATGGAGTGTTTTGAAATGCAACCTGACAATAAGCTTTTCTTGGATCTCATTCCAATTTTCCCTAAGGTGTCTAATAAGACAATTATATTTTAGTTGTATAGTGTTGGTTTGCTGTTTGTGGTCAAGGCTTACCAATTATGAATTATCATGTTGCCAACTTTGTGCAGTCACATGCTTCTCAAATTCTAGGTTTCAAATTTCAATATTACCAGCGTATGGAAGTTCAAAATCCTGTACCTTTTGGACTGTATCGGCTTGCTGCTTTGCTTGTCAAAGAAGACCTTGTTGATCTTGATAGCATGTGAGTATTTGTGTCCTAAGCTGAGTGTTCTAATGGTACTTGTATGTTTGCTTGTAGTCTTTTCTTCTTTGTCTCCTGTTTTAAAAGATCACTGTTGTACTTTTTGCAACTAATGCCCTTTTGGCCTTTATGCATAATAGGGATTAAAAAAGAAGGGAAAAAGGCATTATTAGTATAGACGAGGAGAAAATAATTGACTTAGAAGTGTCTCTTACTTTTATTCAGGAAAAGAACATATTGTGTAACTTCTTGTTATTTTTAATGTCTGATTGCAATTGTTGCCCAACTAAATGCATTGTACATGGATTGTTGACTTTTTCTTGAAGCAGGTGAGGATGAAACTTTCCTTGCAAAATTTCTATTTAAACTACCCCCGTTTTGTAGTAATTGCAACAATTTGACTTTTGCACTAAGCATATGCTTACTTTGACTATACTTCGTAATAATAGCTAAATTTAAGGATATAATTAAAGTAATATGATGTAGTTTGCATACAGCAGTATACAAACTCTTGTAGACTTTATAAAGACTGCACTCAAACAAATATAGACTTGGGAGCATGATTGGTGTGGAATTATTTGTAACAATTTTTTAGTGCCTATATTGAATTTCAATTTTGCTTTACAGTTTTGTCTGTAATGAGACTGTTATGTTGGTATGTGCACATTTTATGATTAACTCTATCCATCTTACTCTTAGGTTCCTCTACTACTTTCTGTTGAGGTTGTCTGTGGTATGTAATTATTGGGATGACAAATTATAGTCATGTAGTAGTCCTTCTCTCTTCTGCATTGTGAATATGTGATTTTAATTTAGGATGGATGTATCTTGTATTCTCATCTCCCTTTCTCTTTTGTCAATAATCACTAAAAAAATGGTACTGTTAGATAGCCAGGGGACTCAGGATAATCACTTTGATAAATTTTGGTAATTATGTTCTGCTTTTCGGTTTTTTGAGATTTGTTTTATTTCAAGTCCCTGTTCGCTGCTTTGAGGTCTCTCACTCTGGATATAATGTAATTAGTTCAGCTGGATGATGTATAATCAACAATTTAATATATGCAGATATGCACATTTAATTCCCAAGGATGAGGAAGCATTTGAAACTTTCAATGCCATTACAACCAAGCGCCTTCATGAGGTTTGTTTTAGATAATTATCATGAGTGGAACACTTCCCCCCCCCCCCCCCCCCCAAACAACAACAAAAGAAATTAAATCTGCAATTTGTAATGGTCTATTGCCTATTAGTTATCAACAAAGGAGGAAAGTCTGTAAATGTGATAGGGACATTACTTTCCTGGAAATTATAGAAGCGAATCAAATGAAAGGTTTCCTTTGTCCTTTAGTTTTTGACAGATTGGATATATTGCTCTAGTATGTTTCATCCTTAGACATATAGTCCCTTTTTTTTTATTTTTGTTCTACTCACTTTGCTTTAATTTAATTTTTCATACTTCATTTACTATCTCACATCTCTTACCCCACAATAATTACCTTTCCACATTCTTTCTTACTTTAGTCACCTTTTTCTTACGCCCATCCACCATTTACATTCTTTTTCTCTTACTTTATTCTACTTCATCTTACACCCATTCACCTATTTCAATATTTTTCTAACTGAACATAAAAGAATGAAGGTAATACAAATCTAATAGGAACAAGAGGCAATGCCTTTTCTCTTAATAGCCTTTTTATAAACACATAATAAGTTTTGTACTATATACTTTTTGGACAAGCAGGACAAAATCTGTAGGCATTGGTTTAGAGGGAATTTTACCTATGGTTAAGTTTTTGCATCAAACCTTGCCTGAATGATTTGGCTTGAAAGAAATTGTAAGGTGTTAGATGCCTTTGTCCATATGAACACTATTGCATGTGAATGTATCTTTGAAGCCTCTAGCATTTGAATTTTAGCAAATGTAGAAAGAATTAAAAAAAGGATTTTGATTTGCTGTTTTTTCCTTCAGTATAGCTAGGTCTCACAGTGACATATAGGATGAACCTTGGCATACCCGTTATTCTTATCTTACACAATTAGTTAGTTGAAGTTGGTGTAGTCACCACTTAAAAGTAAGCAACTTGCTGCACATATGGTTTGTGAAACATCCTTTGTAGTTGTTTGCCGTTAAAAAATTATTTTTGATATGTTTAAGTAATATCTTGGAAAAAGGTGAGATGATACTGAATAGTTTGTATTATATGTTAAGGGATATTAAATAAATGATCATATAATGATCTGCAGCGAACACTATAGAAGGAATGTTTTTGTGAGTGCTTAAATATTAGTTTGTTCACTTTTAGGCCATTATCTGTTAACCTTAAAAAAATAATATTCAGTAAAAATAGTTATAGTTTACTGAAGATAATTTTAGTTCAGTAAAAATAAGTCTAGTTCAATAAAAGTAATTTTAGTATGTAAAAATAATTTTTAATCTGTAAAATCCAGTAATTTCAAAGTACAAATATAATAGAGAATAAGTTTTAATCAGTAATTTCAGTAAAAATAATTTCAGCTTAGCAAGAATAAGGTGAAGAGAATAAGGTATTAATCAACCAAATCCACTATCTTGTTATTTATATTAAACCCCGCTATCTTGTTTTTTATTCACCTTCCTAAATCTTGTGCAAAAGTCAAAATGGGACTTCTACTTGGGGATGGAAGGATTAAATTTTATTTATCGTCACTGATGATTTACACTCTTAAAATGGAGATGTTGGTTATGATCTCCAAATTGAGGTGTTTCGATTTTTTCCTTTTAGACTTCGCTGTGTTATCTAGGATGCGTTTCATTGTGTTGGCTCATTGTAACAGGCTAACAAGATTGGAAAAATAAACCTAGCTGCAACGGGAAAGGATCTTATGGATGATGAAAAGCAAGGAGATGTGACTGTAGATCTTTATGTCGCTTTAGAAATGGAAAATCAAGCTGTCAATGAATCTGTTTCAGAGCTCGAGGACTGCCAAACACTAGGCTTGCTTACTGGTTTCCTTCTTGTCGATGATTGGTATGCGACTTATCATTACCTCTGCAGTGGAAAGAGGGAAACATGCTTGTGGTTTTCCTACTTCGACATTTTTTTCATTATTCCTTGAACTTACGTTTGTTGTTTGCTCTATTGTTATGGTTCAATTTAGAGTTTTAGCTTAATGTGGTAGTTAGGATTTGTCTTTTTGCTAACCATATGAGCCCCAAAAACATTGGCCTTTTGCTTTTGTAATTTTTTTATTCCAGGTTGCTATTAGATCAATTCTCCCCTTAGCAAAATTACACAAATCTCCCTTTTAAAAATAGGGTAATGAAAATATAAAAAAATTAAATTAATGGTTTGCATAAAAAATAACTATATTTATAAACCATAATTGCCATGTCCTAGTACCCGTGGTCAAATATAAGATAGTCCCCATGCCATAAGCTATATTAGACACTTGGATCCATATCCGAGTCTTCATAGCATAGTGGTTACATATTCCCTATCTCACGGCAAGATCTTTATTTGGGTGAGATTTATTGTTTAATGAAGTATTATTTCTATTGCATTTGGGAGGAGAGATTTACTATGCATAATGCATTTTGTTATTGTTCCTCTTCTCATGGAGGGCCAAATCAATATGGCTGTCATATTTCTTCTCCTTTTGTAGACTGTGTCAAGTGAGGAAACTAGTGGCACATTGTACATATATTGTAGCATGTGCAAACACACTAGATTTCACGGAAAAAGGATAAAAGGTGGCTTATGTAAAACAAAGACTTGATATGCTAGATAATAATATGGAAAGGGGTTTTGTATCTACTATATAGGTCGGTCGAGGCATGGAGTGACTTTTTCTTTAGGAGTTTGATCTCGATAGATATAGTGAGATGATTATACTGTAGTTTAAAGTGATGTTCTCTCTTTTGAAAATTTACTTGGGTATTAGAGATAGGAAGGCTCCTCAAGCTTCTATTATTTATTTATGTTGATAAGCAGTATCATTAACAATATCCTACTGGACAGTGTACATTATATATGGTATTAGATTGCTTGCAAGCCATTATAATATTTAAAGAGGAGAGAAGTGTACTGATCTTTTATTTTTTATTTTTTTTTATTTTATCTTTCGTCTTCAGATTTTATCCCTACTAGATAATTCCCGAACATGCTCGGTTTTTTAAATTATCTATATTTGAAATATAGAAATTTCTAGAGAAATATAACATAATAGTCAATTATAATAATAGTCTTCAAAAAAAAAAGTAAAAATCCTAATAATAAATATAATGAATTTCCTAGGCAAATTATTGCTTCTACAATAATAAAAAAAAAGAAAGTAGTGTTTAGGAGGGAAAATTCCCTCCTTAAATAACTCCGATTTAGTATAGAATAATAGATGGTACATCACCTTGTTTTTTAGGAATTAGTTTAAATCTCTTAGGGTTGATGTTGCGCGTGACATGGATGCAGACTTAGAGGTTATTAATTAATGAATTGTGGAGGATGGCTAAATAGTGCTCAATCGGGTATAGACTTGTCAATCGGGTTAGGGGTTATTTCTGGTTGGGTCACTTTGGGTTCTTTCAAGAAATGCTCTACCCCTAACCATGTTTTCGGGTTCGGGTCAACCCAATGGGTTTAAGAGCAATTTTTTATTTAATTCATTTTTTGCTTATTATTAGAAATATTTGATTTTTCAAGCTATGTTTGCAGTATATTTTTCAATTTTGTTAATCAAACATTCTCACCATTATCATTTTTATCTATTACATTTCTACTACATAATTTAAACCATCAGATTCGTCATTCGTCACCAAAGGAAGAAGCCAACATTAAATATGTGGAGAATAATCTCTTGATATAATGTCTTTATATCATTTAATTATCTCTTCAATTATATATTTGACATTGTTAATATGGGTATATATAATCTTTGTGATTGTATAAATAATTTCCATATATAGTTGGTTATTATCTCTCTTACCTAACTTAAAGCATTATGTTATCTTCACTAACTATCTTTGTAGTACATATTATGTAGAGCTTAAATATATAAAATAATGATATAATGTAAAGGATGTTGGCTATACATGATTCATACTTAATACCATCTGATAGCGGTCAGTGGAGGTTGGTGTGGGCTATGTGGTTGGTGGCGTGGCGTGTATTATGCGGATGCAGGTTGTGCAGGTCGGTAGGTTAGTGTGGCCGTGTGGATGGCGGTTGGTATTGATCTAAGAGAGAGATAAGAGAGAAATGAATGTAGAATGGAAGATGGATGGATGATCAAAATCAATCAAAGAACAAGATATTCATTTTCCAATAAATGTATATCTTAAATAAATTTTAAAAAACCCCACAAAAACGGGTCAGCAGGTCAGGTTGGGTTTGCCCAACAAATTACAAGTTAAAAGTGTTCAAGCAAAGTCGGGTTTTGGGTCGAAAATGTTTGTTCAAAACCCACACAAAGCGGGTCGGGTCGAGATGGAAAGATACCATCATATTTTGGTAGAGCTTGCTTGAGGTTGTTGCATATCTGGTATCAAGAATTAGCTTCAGTGTGTCAAGAATCATCTTCTGAATGGAACTTCGGTTTTCTTGATTGTATATATATTACGATGTAGCTTGAGGGTATCATATATATTTTCTTTTCTTTATGTTGGTGATACCCTCTTAGTGTGTTCTTATGTCACCAATTATTTAGTTAAACTCTATCCAAATAAAATATGAGTATTGAAGCACTTACTGATAATTTTCTCAACTTTTTTTAATTTGTTGCTTGAATGAGCCCATATCAGATAACCCACTTCTGGCTTCCTTAACTGCATCGGTTCCTTTATTATTGTTTTACAGGTATCATGCTAATATCTTGTTTGAGCGTCTCTCACCTCTTAATCCAGTGGCATATGCTCAGATTTGTGATGAGCTGTTCAGGTACACAAGACATGTATCTTGTTTCTGTTGTTTGAGATTGGACACTTTTAATAATGTCATATCCTGTCTCCATCTGCTGTTGCTGTGCTTAATATAACGTCGTATGCAATTAGTACTAAAGAAGACATGAATACATAAAGTCTACTGATTGCCGAACATAATGCACACATGGCAAATTTTCCGGCATACCAGTTTTGACATGAGCTGAAATATCAGTTTTGACATGAGCTGACTTAGATCCTGGTTCAGAGTACACGGCTTAGATCCTTGCAATAACACCTTAGTGTCAACACGCGCAAATGAAATGTGTCCTGGCAAGGGCGTTGTGTTGATCTACAACAAGCGCTGGTAAATGCAGCCAGCCACCTCAGGCAAGGAGAAAGGCGCAGCGCCACAAAGCTGTTTGTGAACAGGCAATTGAGGAGAAGACTGGAGTTATAAACAAATAGTTCACCAAGATTTCTTTTAGTTAAATCTTACCAGGATTTAAATGTTAATCTGACCCCTAAATTATTATTTGTAGTATTAGTATTAGTATGAGTATAATTAGGATTATTTATTTATTTATTTTTTAAAAAATTTGGTAAACCTGTCCCCAAAATTAAAAGCTGTAAATTTTTTTTCTTTGAATTCTAATTTGCTAGTTAGTTGAAATTGGGTGTTAGGATCTGTGGCGGATATTTCCATATCCCTTCTTGGTAGCCTAATTTTGCTGCTCCAGTTGTTTTCCTTTTACTTGTGTCTATCTTTAACATGATTTTAAATCTTGGATGCGGTCACATGCCACAATCATTGTATCGGTCACATAACCACTTCCGCGGGCAATGTTGATGGAATGTGGCTTTTGCGGCCTAATATTTCGGTCACGGAGAGCTTAAAATCCATTACAATACGGTTGTGATGTGGTGATGTGGCCGAGATTTAATAAGATGATCCCTAGGGGCTGGACATACCTGTTAATGTGGAGTACTTTTATCGTTGACGTCAGCCCTCTACAGTCTGACCTTTGGTTTTATATTGTATCACAGGCTTTGACTTTTATCAGAAATCATTTGTATGTTAGTGGCTCTTTAACTGATAAAGGTGTGATCTCAAGACCATGTATTTTCTTCATGTAGGCTAATGGAACATAATTATTAAAATATGAGTTGGTGTACTTTCATAAGTGTGTTCTCAATCTGCCTTAGTGTAGGTTAATATCATACATCACTTATATGTAGTCTTATTCTTTTCCTAGCAGTGTCTATGAAGCATTAGATATCTAAGTCATCTCAAAAAGGAAAAGGCTTTTTATCTGTAGATTTTAATGATAGTATGATGCTATAAGTTGTGTTATTGGTAGGCTAGTATTTTTAGTATGTTTTACATAATTATTAAACTCATCATTGTCATTAGCACCACCATTATAATATTACTCATATGACAGTAGTAGTCGTGGACTTCGTGTAATAGTAGTAATAAGTGAGTAGTTCATGTTTCAAGAGTTTTTTGGAGGCATCTTTTATATTTTTGAAAGTAACTTATAAAGGTTAAGTACTCAACCTGCTAAAGTGCTAATTTGTTTAGGTCTTAATCCTTTTGTCACTTTTACTGACTTTGTATGTTTAATGTATTTTAGGTTGATTGGAAAATCAATTTCCTCAGCATATGATATTGTACGCAAAATGCATCTTGAGAGCTTCATGAATGGTCCGAGATTGTTGGAGGATGCAGATTCTTCAAAAAGCTCTCTTATTCTGCTACCTAAAGAGCTTTTTGAGATGCTTACCTGTGCTGGACCTTATCTGTATCGTGATACTTTATTGCTGCAGAAGGTGATTGTTTTGTTTGCTTCTGTTCTTCAAGGTCCTTTGTTGTTAAAGCTTACTAACAATATGCTGTATATGTGTTCTGTGAAGATCTGTAGAATTTTAAAGAGCTATTACCTATCAGCTCTTGAACTCATTAGCAAGGGAGATGGAGCTCCTGGATCTGTTATTGATGTTAATATTAATCCTCGCTTGCATCTAAGAGAAGCAAGGTCAAGAATTGAGGAAGCTCTGGGATCTTGTCTGCTTCCTTCGTTGCAGTTGGTACCTGCAAATCCTGCCATTGGGCATGCAATTTGGGAAGTGATGAGTCTTCTTCCTTATGAGGTGTGGATTATATAAGTAGCCTAAGCTATTTTTGGTTATTTAGCGTTCTTTTTGACTTATAATGGATAAGGTTTAATTATCTAGACAAGTGATGCCTTTGTTTTGATTAGGCAAGATATCGTCTCTATGGTGAGTGGGAAAAGGATGATGAACGGATACCTATGATTTTGGCAGCAAGACAAACAGCTAAGGTGTGCCCAATTATATGTTTGAAAATATCAACCCAAAACAATTATGTATGTCTAATTTAAGTTTTTATTTGTATTTCTAGCTGGACACAAGGAGGATCTTGAAACGGCTTGCAAAGGAAAATTTAAAACAGCTTGGTCGTATGGTTGCTAAGCTTGCTCATGCCAATCCCATGACTGTTCTCCGAACAATTGTTCAACAGGTACCTCATTATCTTTTTCTAGCAGCATATGTACTCATTTAAATTACATACAGTATATAAAGTTTCACTCATATTGCTCTTGCAGATTGAGGCCTACCGAGATATGATCATGCCAGTTGTGGACGCATTCAAATATTTGACACAGGTGTGGTTGATCAGCTAAGGCCATTTTATATTTTTTTTTGCATACCCTCTTGAAGGTTCTTATTGTCTTTCTGAGAGCAGAATTTGGAGCTTTGTGCTGTGTGGGTTATGTGGAGGGGCTACTAAACTTTTGATTTTGGATGACTATATTCCTAACCGTAAGACCAATACATAACACTGAAACAGTTGGAAGTTAAGATCAATTTAACAAGTTAGTTTTAATATTCTAAGAGAAGGGGTGGTGACATCATACAATTTTTCTTTTTGAGTCCTTAAGCAATAACACATGATTGCTTAGGTTTGTTAGAATTAGCACTAAAACTAAATTTGAAGTTACTACTTTGATTAATCATTAAACGGTTTGAGTTAGCAATATCAAAAGAGCAACATGGTTAGTATAGCACGAAAACAGGAAATGTTTTTAGTTTGGTTGTGAAGGGGCAATGTAGTCGAGCAAGAAGTGGTTCTGTGACCTACCCATGGCCATCCACGACCTACTTGAGGCCAACATTTGTGTGGATGTGGCTTTGGCATGGAGATGAGTTTTCTTATGGATGAATTTCTTGCTTGCTTGTTATTTAGTTTCCATAGGTTTGTTTATTTAGGACTAATGTAATTATATTGTATTAAATTGTAATTAATTTAGGAAGATAATTTTTAGTTTCTCAACATCCTTTGAATTCTAGATCTACCATAGACTTTAGAATGCATAAGACTTGTTGAAGGGATATGACTTTATGCTCTACAAAAAGGGATCATGGGTCTTTTCTTTTTAATGTACATCAACAAAGGGAGATTAAAAACCCTCTTAGGCTTCTAAATTAGGGGCCGTTTGGTTAGGGGTAATTAGAAAAGGAAAGGGAATGAACAAGGCTAATTCCCTTTATTGTTGCTTGTAATTTACATTCTAATCATTCCCCTTTACCCACTTCATTCCTTCAAAGTCCTCTACTTTGATTCACTACACTCCCCATGGTATTTCCATTCCCTTAAACCACTACACACCATCAATACACCACCTCACATCATCACCACCACTGTTCACCAACAGTTGGACTGACGTTCACCACCACTACTCACCGATTGCACGTCCACCACCATCACCCACCTGCACCACCCACCTTAGAGCTATTGCCTCTAATCTACCCAAACCCATCTCGAAACAAGCCCTCCAACCCACCCAAAACCACCCCCATCGTCCCAAATACTTTCCCTCACCCGTAAACTACCCTCATCCATCCCTTAAACCACCCCCTTCCCCGAAAAACATACCCACCCACTCGAAAGCAACCCTCACCCATCCTAAAAAAAGCAAAATCCTAAAAATTCCAAAATAAAAAAATGAAAGCGTACCTTTTAGTATCATCAATTATGATTTTAGATGGTTAAAACTTGACCATTATAATCCCAAATATAACAATGGTGTTGGTAAGTTGAATAGAGAGAAGGGGGCGGCGACATGGTAGGATGGGTGAGAGTGGCGGCAATAAAGAAGGGGTGGCGACTAATAGGGTTGGTGTGGTGGTGGTGGGTGGTGGTCGTGAAAGTGAATGTTTACATGGTGTTCCAAGGATGAGAGAAGGAAGATATAATAAATTACCAAACAACATCCTATATCAAAGGGAGTTACATTCTATTCTCCTCCATATCTTTTTGTTAACTCATTCTCTTTCCCTTGGGTTAACCAAACGCTCCCTTAGTGGTCTTCTGTGGCATGGGTTGTAATGCTTGTTGCTGATAATTTTAATTGATATGTGATCGTTGATGGTTTTATCCCCTATTAGTTTGTGCTTTTTCGCCTACTACTTTTGAGGGGATTTTCACACAAAATGTAATTTTCCATCATCTTTTATATTACACACATTAATTTGTTTGTATAATATTGCCTATTGTTTGTGTTTTTGCTTCCTCTATTCTGTTAGAGATTGGATCAGAAAAACAGAGTAAACCAAGCAGAAAATAAGAAAATAGCTACACCAAAGATAGATTGTATTGCAAGTCAGTGAAACCACAATACAACTCCCTTCTTTCGAGAGGAAAGAATGCTCTCCAAGGAATAACTTCCACAAAGATTTTCTAGATACCTCTCCCCATTACAATTCCCTTCTTAAATACCCAAAACAAACTAGCTAGCTGTTGATAACAAACTCAGCACTCAAAACAAGGACTAACAAACTTATTCTCCTGAATTACTGATTTACCCCTCCCTGTAACTAACTTCCAGCCAATCTGTCCAGCTCATATTCCATCATCAGGCTTCTGTTTGGGCCTTCTCCGAGCATATGTGAAGCGCACCAATGGTCTGGGCTGGTCTCTTGCAATACCTCCCACCCAAAAAAGCAACTTGTCCTCAAGGTGGAAGTGAGGAAACCGAGCAGCAATCTCATCATAGATCTCCCAGGTGGCTTCAAAATCCTGTAACCTTTTCCACTTAATCAGAACCTCAGTGGCTGCCTGTGAACTTCGCACTCCAACCATTGACTCCGGCTCCTCTTCCATCACTAAGTCAGCCGTGAGCTGGGCAGGTAGTTGGGTAGGTAGATGCCCTGGACCTACAGCCTTCTTCAACTGAGAAATGTGGAAAACAGGGTGAATTTTAGCAGAGGGAGGTAGCTGCAGCTTGTAGGCCGCCTTACCAACACGTTCAAGTATAGGGTAAGGTCCATAGAAACGAGGTGACAACTTCTCAGACCGCAACAGATTGTTGACTATATGGCTGCAACTTGAGGTAGACCAAATCCCCCACCTGAAAAATCCATCCCTGCGAGACTTATTCTCATATTGCTGCATGTAAACCTGAGCCTGCACTAGATGGTATTTCAGATCATCCAATATAGCATCCCGTTCCTGCATCTGTTCCTCCAAGGAAGAGAGAGCTGTGCTCCCCGAAGAGAACCTGACCAAGTGAGGTGGGTCCCTGCCATAGAGAGCTTTGAAAGGTGTACAATGAGTGGCGGTATGGAAGGCCGTGTTGTACCAATATTCTGCCAGTGCAACCAGTTTGCCCAACTAGAAGGCTTCCCATTCACAAAGCAACGCAGATACGATTCCACCCCCTTGTTCACCACCTCGGTCTGACCTTCCGTTTGATGGTGTATGCTGTACTTCGCATCAGTTGAGTACCTTGCAACCTGAACACTTCTTTCCAAAAAATGCTGAGAAAATTTTTGTCCCGATCAGACACAATTGATGATGGCACACCATGCAACCTGACCACCTCCTATACAAATGTCTGAGCAACACTCTGAGCTGTGTAGGGGCGCTGCCTGGAGAAGAATGAAATGACCATACTTAGTCAACCTATCCACGACTACAAGTATGGTGTCTCACCCTAGTGATTAGGTAGACCTTCCACGAAATCCATGGAAATGTCTTCCCAAACTCTTTTGGGAATCAGAAGGGGCTGGAGAAACCCTAAGGGAGACAAGGTTGATGCCTTGTTTTGCTGACAAACATGACAATTCTGAACTTACTTTGTCACGTCCTTGCGCATGCCTACCCAAAACCATTCACTTGCGAGCCTTTGGTATGTTTTGAAGTCCCCCGCATGGCCACCAATAGGAGAATCATGGTATTCCTTAAGCAACTTCGTCGTGAGGTCGCCTTGCTTGGGAATCAACACCCTATTCTTGTACTTCAGCACCCCATTTTCAAGAATGAACCCTTTAGGGACTGATTCACCAGATTTCAGTTGTGAAATGAGCATCTGTATGGTGGTGTCTTTCTCTATGAAAGGAAGGACAAACTTCCACTGAACCCCACAAGAAGTGACCTAGATAGCACACTCGATTGCTGGTCTATGCTTCCTGGACAAAGCATCGGCCAAAGCATCAGCCACCCTGTTAGTAGGGCTTGGCTTGTAGTGGATGTCAAAGATATGCCAAAGTAGCTTGACCCACTTCCTTCTGTTCCAGGAGATATTTGAGGCTGCGTTCATCAGTCCGCACAATGAAATGCCTAGATAGCAGGTAGTGCCTCCATTTCTCAATGGCAAAGACAATGGCCATGAGTTCTTTCTCATATATAGGCTTAGATCGAGCTCTCAAGCCTAAGACCTTGCTGAAATACGTAAACGAATGATTCTCTTGTAGCAGAATCGCCCTTAAACCATGCCCGAAGCATCGGTTTCCACTATGAAGGGTAGTGTGAAGTTGGGAGTTGCCAAAATGGGCGCCTTAACCATGGTTGCCTTGAGTGTTTCAAAAGAAGTTGTAGCCTCATCAGACCACCCAAAACAATCATTGCGCAACTGATGAGAGCAATCATAGCATACCCTTGAACAAACTTCCGGTAGTAACCAATAAGACCTAGAAATCCTCTCAGCTCCTTGATGTTGTTCGGCATAGGCCAATCCACCATGGCCTGTACCTTTGAGTCATCAACTTCCACACCAACTGCAGATATGACATGCCCCAAATATGCCACCCTTGTCTTGCCACCTCACGCTTCTTGAAATTCGCATAGAGTTGATAAGTAGCCAGTGTTTCTAGCACTTGTTTGGGTACGGAAAGCTGTTTTAGGCACGTCCTCTGCTCACACCCTAATCTGGTGGTACCCTGAATTTAGGTCCAATTTCGTGAAAATTGTAGACCCACATAGTTCATCCAACAATTCATCAATTATGGGTATAGGAAACTTATCAGGTATTGTATTCAATGCCCTATAATCAACACAAAAACGCCAACTACCATCCTTTTTAACTAGTAAAACAGGGCTAGAATAGGCACTAGTGGAGGATTGTATGATACTTGCTCGAAGCAAATCAGTCACCGGTTTCTCGATCTCATATTTTTGGGACTGTGGGTAACGATAGGGTCGCACGTTGATGGGATTTGCTCCGTTTTTCAGAACAATGGTGTGTTCAATTTGCCTCCTAGGAGGTAACCCTTCTGGCATGTGGAACACTTGCTGAAATTCCTGGATTAAAGCTTGGAGTGCTTTAGGAACCTCAGGTTTTTCACCCACCACTTTCTCCACCTGGTTAAATTCCAATAAGAATCGCTGGCCTTCCTTTTGTAAGGATTTAAACATGGCCTTCAAAGAAATGCAAGTCCTGCCAAAGTGAGGATCACCTTTCGGCATTACCATTTCACCACCCAATTTCTCAAGCCACTGTATCCCTAATGGAAGAATTAGGAAGTCCTCAACGATGGTGACCCCTCGAATATCCGGCACAACACCACGACAGACGCCTTCTCCTTGCACTGCTTCCCCCTGTTCCAGCGTTACTCCAAAACTTTTTGCCTCCGTTACCGGAATCTGCAACTGTGGGCTGCTATGGTGGAGATAAAATTATGCGTCGCGCCTGGGTCAATCATCATCACTACCTCCTTGCCCTCAATCATACCAACAAGTCTCATCGTCTTAGGGGAGATAAGACCCATGACCGAGCCCAGGGAGACTTCGGGAGTAGGTGTGGGTTCTACTTCGGGTGGTTTAAGGGTTTGAATCTGAGTTTCAACTGCCGAAAATTCGCCGGAGCTGTCCCAATCTTCCTCGTCATCTACAGTGAGAAGAACACTCAATTCCCGGCGTCGGCAGCGATGATTGAGGTTCTACTTCTCGTCACATTGGAATCATAGGCCCTGTTCCCGTTTTTGCTGAAGCTCTTTCTCCGACAACCGCCTTATTTCGCCTGTGGTTTTGTGGTTGGTAGAGGTGGTGATGTTTTTTTGTGGTTCGGGCTTGTGTTTAGGGTTGTAGTGTTTTGGGGTGTGGTGTTTGGTATGGATCATAGGTTTTTAGTCTAGAAATCGTCATTCGAATGAGCCTTGAAATTTTTTCTTGGAGGAACATAAGGTATTGTGAAATCAGGGTTTATCTGATTGAAAATGTGTTGAACTCTGTTAACTGATAGATTATTTTGAAATTGACTTGGGGGTTGATCCCTATAGGGATATAGGAAAACTAGTTTAAATGTACTCTGGAAAATTGCTGCTTGCCAAGGTCTGTGCATGAAGGCTTTGCTCAGAGTCCTCACTCACGCAGTGTATATCCCCTCTTTCCGCTAGTTTGCGCAGGGGGTGTCTCCACTCAGACATGGAGTCTAGACCTGCCCACAGGATCGTTGTTCAGCACAAACTCTTGCGAATATAGGTCTGTGACATCAGCTTTGCAAAACACTGGGCATAGGTTTTTATTTTTTTAATTTGTTTTCTTAATTGTTTTTTGTAATTAAAATTTAATCTATTACAGCCCTAATCAGGCTCATAAAAAGCATTGGGTATTTTGGTGAATTGGACTGGCTTTTTAGCAATTCTTTGGCCTTTTGATTTGAATAAATTTAAGTTGGACTCCTCTTTTTATTTTTATTTAATGCAATAGTTCAACCACCGCCCACCCCCCCCCCCCTCCCCACCCCCCGCGAGTTTTGGGTGGTTGAGTTGAATTTGTTGTCTTAATTATATGTGGGGTTTGTTGGGGAAAACATTACTACCTCTGTATGTTATTATTTGCGACGTTGGAGGGTTGCACAGACTCGTAGGCAGAATTTGTTTGTGATTGTTAATGGAGAGAGAAATGACAACTAAAAGGGAAAGAAAACATTTGTTGCAATCTTGCAAATAAATATGAGACATCAATTTTTGGCAAGTGTTGCAAATAATATGAAACGGAGGTAGTATATAAAAAAGAGACAGTGGGTTAATAGTTGATTTAAAAGTATTCGTGGGAATCATAGTAGTAGTGATACACTGGAACAATGTACAGTTTTGCATTAAAAAAAGGGCCGCCTTAGGGAAGTGTTGCATATTAAAAAAACGAGTAATGCCCTGGCTGATAGTTAACACTAGTTTACAAGTAAAATCCTGTAGATTGATCTGTACTTGGGTGTCCGTTACGAGAATAATGCTCTTTCCAATTCAATTTTTTTTGTGACATTCTTGATTCGACACTTGGCAGTTGCTGTCTGTAAAACATGGGGATTATATATTACAATTTAGGTTGGGTTAGATATTTGGTTCTCTTCCTGTTGATGTGATACAATTGTATTTCTGTACATTTACTGCTGCTCTGCTGGTTTCATATCTTTTCAAAATTATTTTCTTGCAGTTGGAGTATGATGTCCTGGAATATGTTGTGATAGAGAGACTGGCACAAAGTGGTCGTGAAAAGCTAAAAGACGATGGGCTTAACTTGTCAGATTGGCTTCAATCTTTGGCTTCATTTTGGGGACATCTGTATGTGTGCTTTTTGCCTTTTCTGTTTCGTGTGTGTGTGTGTGTGTATATATTCTGTTTCCGATTCCACTCGCTTTTGGTTTTGGGGTGTTGAAGTAAATTTGACTCACTTTTTCTTTATTTTTTTTTTTCAAACCCCTTTTACTACCTTACCTCTCTTCCCTGCACTATTTACCCCTTTCTACTCACTGTCACTTTATCCAACTTTTTTGTTACATTCACCTGCTTTTTCCTCAATTCTCTTAGTTTTTTTTCCCTTTTTCTTACACCCATTCACTTTTAAAAAATTTCCTAGAAACAAGAGTCTTTATTACGTGAGTCAAATATCAAATGGAGGGAGTATAATATTGTATATGTGTGTATTTCTGAAAATTCTGAATTCTAGATTTTTTAGTAGTGTTGGATAGAAGTTCTTTTCAAATATACTTTTTGCTGGAAATATTTGTATAATTTATCGATGAAAGCTTGTCCCCTGTTAATCCGCTATGAATCATAAGACTTTATACATGACTATGACTGACACAGCTGGAAGTTACTTTGGGTATCTTAGTTTTATTATACTGGAAACATGTTTCAGAATCCTGAATCTCGTGTAAATGCCCTGGATGATATCCTTTCAATGCTTGCTTCTAGGCATATCTGAAGTGTAAGGGCACATAGCAATTTTGATAAATAATTTCCTTGCAGAGGGTATCAGGGTGATAATTGGTGGCTTGGCAAGAGAGCTTCTTTATTACTTGTTATGGCTTCTCAAACTTCCCACTAGGTGTTTTTGGCTTGCTGCTATGTGTCTGAGGTGGGGTCCATGGAATTTCTGGGCTTCACTTTCTTAATGTTCTACTTTTAAAATTAAGTCCATGTTATGATCAGGTTTCAAGATGTCAGATCTATTTGAGGAATTGGAATATTGCAGTATTTCTGGACTTTATGAGCTGTAATGTTTCTGCTGAATGAGATTAGAACTGCTGCAATTTATCTGACTTGTCAAAAATGAAGCCTATATGGAAAGGGCTGTTGATCCTCATACAGTTGATGTAGATACTTTGAGATTTGTCACTGCTGGAAATAAATACTTGATGGAGCTGTTTTTTTAGTAAGTGGGTGCAGTTGTGCTGGTAAATTTATTTTGCCAATTTTGGTGTGGACTCGCAATATAAAGCCAACATCTTCTCTCCATCACGTTTCTGTGGTTTGTAGTTTTGGCCTCTTTTTCCCCCCAAAAAAATCTCATGGTTAGGTCCCAAGAGAGAACTTGCTTTTGTTTAAGGGCATTCCTCTATAAAAAGTGGCACTCAGACTAGATATGCGGAGAAGTGGTTGGTCTGTTCAAGTCTAAAATCCTATGTCTTACATATGGTGGTAATTTCCAATAATCGTTCTTCACTGCATCATTTCTGAAAGTATTAAGGTATTCCAGCTGTAAGTGTGCCAGCCTAGGAATGGAAAGTATGTTTTGGATTCATTACTTCTTAAGGGTTCAGTATTCATTTCTTCAATTTAAAGGCACCTTATTTGGCTGGCTGTCTTTGTATCTTTTTGGGAAATGGTGTGCTTTTTTTAACTTTCCTCTAAAAGTGGGTGGCTTTTCACAGGAGGCTTCTATGTATTGGTGTATCAACAAAGTCCTCTGACCATATTCGGAGTTTCTAGATCATTTGAAGGAAGCTCATAGGAATGAGTCCTAACATTCTTCTTGAGCTTGACTAGTGAAATCATGGGGTAGATGATCTGCCTACTTTTGCAATAGACATGTAGTCCTTCTGAAGCGAATAAAGGAGTGAAATGGAAATAGTTCAGTAATTAAAGGACCCTTTAATTTATCTTTTTACTAATTCTATATTAAATCCTCCGTTACTTGCTGGTTTGACGAGCTATGCATAAAATCCTAAATCTGTAATGAGTGATAAGAGCCAATGGTTTTGGTTGTCAAAGATTTAAGGTCTGTTTCGCTTAGTTGGTCTATTGTTGTATGTTCTGGCTGTGTGGTGCATGTGTTGCTCTTGGTTGAGAAGAAATACAGAGGTGCTATACCAGTTGGTTTGTGTTATTATTACTATTCTTCTTCTGTTCTCCTTTACCATGGCATGTAGATTAACTCCATCAAAGTAGTAGCCGAAGTGTTTTTGAGGAAGCAATTATTATTGACTTTTGGAAGGATTGGGATTTTTGGATCTGTCAACCGAACAAAATTTAGATTGTTGAAGTGTGTTGATATATATTGTTCATTCAACACTGACTGCAAGAGAACAACCCTTTCCACGTTGGAGTCCATGTTTCATTTGGAAATCCTGGTGAAACTTTCTTAACATTGTGTCTTTTTGACATAAATAACTGGATAATATGTGGGGTCTTGTTGAGTTGTCGCTAGATTTGTAATATCTACTTTTTATAATTCTTAAAATGCGTTACTAGAATTATTTTCGACATTGGCAAGTGTAAAAATATAGTGTAAACTCTGTAAAGAACTAATGTAGCTGAGGTAATATTTAGCATCAAAGTACACCTTATGATGTATTCTTTGAATCATGTTCCATTACACTATTTTGGGCTATATTTGGTGAAACCCTTTTTTTTTAATACATCCTCTATTACACAAATATTGCAAAGGTTGTACTTTTGACAATATTTTACAGTCCTCTTTTAACTACATATTGTGATTTACATTCAAGGAAAATCAAAGTCATGCGAGGTCTTGTCGAATTACTCTCGAGTATCAACTTTTTAAAATTTTTATCATTATGTAATTAAATATATTTAAGGTTAGATGTGCTTTGGAAAGCTTGATTCTCGTTGTAATATTATGCGAATGAATGAAGTATTTTTTTTTTGTCATTGAACAAACTTCTGAGTTTGTTAATGCAGTATATTATTCAACTGGAAAAACATTTGATTAAATTGTTGACTGACCAAAGTTAAGCTATCATAACAAAAGACTTTTCCTAATAACAGTATAGCTGGGGTTTTCTGCATATGTATGTCATATCAGCCTCATCTATCTGTTGGGACTTTTTTGATGCACTCTCTAACAGACTGCTTTGTTTTTCTTACTTTTACTTCATTAACACCTACCAAATTGTAGTTATAGGACCTGATTCTTTGTTATTACCAAGCGTGTTTTTTTTTTTTTTTTTTTTTTTTTTTTTTTTTTTTTTTTTCATGCCTAAATTTTGTTCCTGATTTGTTGATTGTTACAGATGCAAGAAGTACCCTTCAATGGAGCTGAGAGGTCTTTTTCAATACCTTGTCAATCAATTGAAAAGGGGTAAAGGAATTGAACTACTTCTACTGCAGGTATACTTTATAATGTTACAAGAATGTCTCTGGACATGAATCAAATGAAAGAGACTTTTTTTCATGCATCTAATAATGCTCTTCTAGGAGTTGATACAACAAATGGCAAATGTTCAATACACGGAAAACATGACTGAGGAGCAGCTGGATTCCATGGCAGGTGGAGAGACTTTGCGATATCTGGCCACTTCTTATGGCATTAGCCGAAACAATAAGGTGATGATTCTAGAGATGGTTTTTCTATTTGAGACAAAAGAAGTAGAATCTGTTAAAGTATTACTAAGAGGGTAAGCTGTCCTGGTAGAAAAAAACTGAACGCATGTGAACTTTTAATATACTAAGGGTTTTTAAGAATTCTTGTTTGAGGCAGTGATTAATTTTATGTTATTATTATACTTCGTATAAATTAGTAGTTGAACAAAAAAGAATAGTTCTAAACTTGAAAGGGGGTGCTTTTGTAATTTTGCCCCATGATAATGCATAGAGCTGGTGGTTCAGGAGCCATTATTTTGCAAATTATTCAGGTAGTTTAATTCTCATTTGCATCCCATATCTGGACCTTGGTTACGGTTTAATTTGGGATATGGTTCATTTGAGAGCTGTTTATTCCAGACAGTGACTGTTTGCTTTATAAGAATGTTATAAACTAAAGTAATTATGAATTTTGAAGAAAATTCAATTCCTGGATGTTTTGTAGTCCTACAGTAAATTTGTAATGGATCAACAAACCAATAACTTGCATTTATATAGGATGTTCTTATGTATCTTTGGGTGGGTCTTGTTTCTCTCTCTCTGTTTTTTTTTTTTTTTTTTTTTTTTTTTTTTTTTTTTTTTTTTTTCTCAACTTGAAGCTCTTTGCAAAGCTAATGCCGTCATGTTAATTTTGACCTGTTGAAGTTACTACCAAGTGCACTGATTGACTCTTTGACTTTTAACTATTGTTTTATTGGTTTTTGTCCTAGTCAGCTTATCCTTTGTGGTTTTTCAATAAATTTATGTACTGAAAAGAGTTGTCTGTTTACCTGATAGGTTTTGATAGGGGGGAAGGGTTTTTGGCCATGTTATTCAGAATTGTCAGACATGTATACATGTTCGATTGTTAGACACAAATATTTGTGGTGAAATGTAGAGCTATGAAGCATGGGTATGATTACTTTATGTTGTTTCTCATATCAGGCACGGGAGGGGGATGGTATGACAAACTTTAATTCGTTTCCACCAAAGAGGGCTTTGTGTTACAATGTTATCCTATCTTTGGATGTATATTCTTAATTCTAGCGGTCAGTCTGTAGAATTTCTTTATCAATGATCTACTCACTTGTCTTGCAAATTTGGTGCTTTTTCATCTGATATTATTTGTTAGGAGTCTCTTTCTGTTCTATTGACAGTCTCCCCTTTTATTCCCATTCTGTTTTGTTGTTTTGTTATTGCTTACTTTTGAGCTAACTTGGATGGTTTTTACTTTGTAATTCTCATTATTTGTGCCACCAATCAATCTGGTTATTCTAGCAAAGGGTAATTTTAGCCACTTGGGGGCTTATTGGAGATGCTAACGTGTTTTCATGGTGACGGTCACATATCTTGCAGGCACTAGCCAAATCTACAAACCGACTGAGGGATTCCTTGGTTCCAAAGGAAGAACCAAAGCTGGCTATTCCTCTTTTGGTGCTAATTGCACAACACCGTTCTCTGTAAGCCATTTTTCTCTGCAGTGAAGTATTTTCCTTACTTTCCTTTGTTAGGCTGAGTGTTTACTTTTAGTACCTGGGTTGGTGATTTCTTTAGCAACGATACTGTACCAAATGTATCTTTAGTTGGGCACTCAATGGATTTTGACCTTCTGCTAGTTATTAATATCTTGCACAAGGTTTACACGTTCTTGCTAAATTGTTATCTTTTTTTTGTTTGTTTTAATATTTTATAATTATATTTTTTTAATGTGAAAGCTTGTGATGATTGATTTACATGGGTGTATATGTTTTACTTTTGCAGGGTTGTTACCAATGCAGATGCACCTTATATAAAAATGCTTAGTGAGCAATTTGACAGGTGCCATGGGGTACTCCTTCAGTATGTGGATTTTCTATGTAATGCTGTCAGTCCAGTAACTGCATATGCACAACTAGTACCTACTCTTGATGATCTTGTTCATCTATACCATCTTGATCCAGAGGTATGTCCACTCTTCAAGATGATGAGGGCCGGGAATTTCAATAATTGGTCAATAATTACTGTTTTATACATGTATAGTTTTATATATTATTAATACAATGTGTTTACATGTTGTAGGTTATCTTCTTGATCTATCGACCAGTTATGAGGCTTTTCAAGTGTAAAATTAGCTCTGTCTCTTGGCCCTTATGTGATCGTGATGAGCCAAGTGATGCTGGTGAACTGGTTTTGGATCTTGGACCTCCATGCAATCCAGTGAGGTATTACTTTCTCATTGTCTGTATCATTTGGTTTCCAGTTGTGGTGTGCATTTTAAATGTGTGATGTCTTTTTTCTCATTGTTGACAATTGTGCCTCTCTCTAGTGCTATGAGTTCTGATCAACACCTTTGATCCCTCACGCCAGAATGCCATTTTTTTTCCTTATGTTTTGTATATTTGGAAAATCCAGTGCTTCAATTGATTGTAAATTCTGCAGGTGGTCTTTTCTTCTTGATACAGTTAGAACTATGTTGCCGGCTAAAGCATGGAACAGCCTCTCCCCAGATTTGTATGCAACTTTTTGGGGTCTGACATTGTATGACCTTTATGTTCCTCGGAGTCGCTATGAGTCTGAGATTGCGAAACAGCATGCTTCTCTAAAGGCTCTGGAAGAGCTCTCTGATAATTCAGGCTCTGCTATCGCCAAAAGGAAGAAAGATAAAGAAAGGATTCAAGAGTCATTGGATCGTCTCACAAGTGAGCTCCAAAAACATGAAGAGAATGTCGCTTCTGTTCAAAGGAGGCTTGCAAATGAAAAAGATAACTGGTTAAGTTCTTGTCCTGATACATTGAAGATAAACATGGAGTTTTTACAACGATGTATTTTTCCACGCTGTATTTTCAGCATGCCAGATGCTGTTTATTGCGCAAAGTTTGTCCATACTCTTCACTCCTTGGGCACACCTTTTTTCAACACAGTCAACCATCTTGATGTTTTAATATGCAAAACATTACATCCAATGATATGCTGCTGTACTGACTATGAGGCTGGTAGACTTGGCAGATTTTTGTTTGAAACACTAAAAATTGCGTACCATTGGAAGGTAGCTATTTTATTATAATTATAAAATTTTGTTGTTTGCTCCTGATTTGGATTTTAATATGTTGGCTGTTTGGTTTCAGAGTGATGAATCAGTCTATGAACGTGAATGTGGTAACATGCCTGGGTTTGCAGTTTATTATAGATACCCCAATAGTCAACGAGTTACATATGGCCAGTTCATTAAGGTGAATTTCAATCTGGGGCTATGATGCGTTCTTGTTTATTTCAGTATCCTTAGCTTTTGGCTTCAGAGAATTTGCTTATGTTGAGGCACTTGTATTCACGAGCCAAGGACACTTGAGTTTCTTAGTTGAAATAGTTGTGGATATGTCTTCCTCAACACCCCTCCCTCACCCGCACCTGTTTTGTGTGTGTGAAAGTGTGAGGGTTACATAAGAAAAATACCTAAAACACAAGGCTATATGGTGTGACTTAGCCTAGATAAAATATATGTATATATGATATAGTCAAACATAATAATTTTAATAAGTTCTGAAAGGCTCACAAATGCATAAAAATAAGTTTAGATAAGGTTAGATGAGTCAATCAAGTAGAAGTAAAAACACCCTTAACAATTGAGTAGTTGTTTAAATAGAGGAGAAATAGGGTGGGGTGGGAGAGAGAGAGAGAGAGAGATCATGTTGAATAGTGTGGAGAGTTTTGAATTAGTGATTTTTTTTAAAAAAAATTTATTTACAATTTTTTCACCAAACCCTCGAGTTTTTAGCTTATTCTCTTTATACCCCTGGACTTTTTAAAATTCACCCTATACCCCCGAGTTTTTACAAAAATCAGTCAAAGCCTTAATTCCATAAGTGGGGTCGGCTACATGAACTAAAAGTGATTATTTCGTGTAGTCAGTTTTTACAAAAATGCATGAAATAATTATAATGACTTCAAGATGAGTGGAGTTTTTTTGATTATGCCTTGAAATCACCCCAGATCCCTTCTCTCATCTGTATATCTCCTTCCCGCACCCCCTCCCTTAATAATATGATTGGTTTCGAGGTGGGGGAAGGAGATCTGGGTGGTTTCGGGGGTGCGGGAAAGGAGGGGGAGAGGGTAGTTTCGGGGGTAGGGAAAGGTAGGGAGAGAGGGTGGTTTCGGGGGTAAGGGAATGGATGTGAGGTGGTTGTGTGGCATAATTGATAACTAACTATCAAACAAAATTTATTTAACAACTACCATCGATGAACAATTGATAATAAAACGATTGCTAGAATTGACGAGAAAAATTACCTCTTTGCCGAGATAGTCATTAAGGGTATATAATGGATTTTTTTGAAACTTAATAGTCATTAAGGGTATATAATGCAATTTTTTGAAAATTCGGGGGTATATGGTGCATTTCAAAAAATTCAGAGGTATATGATGAATAAACTGAAAACTCAAGGGTATATGATGAAAAAATCGTTTTATTTATTTATTATTTTTCTAATTTTGAATATTGTGGAGAGTAATAAATTTAGTAAGTAATGCATGTAAGAGCTGTAAATTTTTTTTATTGCTTATTCCATGTATATAAAACAATCAAGCTTCATCTTCTAATCCTCACATTTCACATTTCACCTTTTATTTGTGTTTAAGCTATGTCGATCCATAGCATATTCTTTTATTATGACATCTTCTATTTGGCGATTGGCATTGACTAATGTTTCCATGAAAAAACACTAACTGTTGTGTATGGTAACTATTTCCTTGCTTTATAATGGGACAGGATACTAACTTGCATTTTCTTTATGTGAAGGTGCATTGGAAATGGAGTCAAAGAATCACCCGACTGTTGATACAGTGCTTGGAATCTGCAGAATATATGGAAATTCGAAATGCACTCATAGTGTTGACAAAAATAACAAGTGTATTTCCAGTTACTAGGAAAAGTGGAATCAACATTGAGAAACGAGTGAGTAATAAGATCTTTGGACATTTCTAAATTTGTGAAGCTGATGTTTGTACAAATACATTTTAAAGTGTATTTTTCTTGCCATTTCTATAGGTGGCAAAAATTAAAGGTGAAGAGAGAGAGGATTTGAAGGTTCTAGCCACTGGTGTTGCAGCTGCTTTAGCTGCTAGAAAGGTAAATAAATTGGGCAGTGCAATGGAGTAGCTCATAGTCACTCATTATCTTAAATAATTGTAATTTATACAAAATACATTCGGTTTCAGCCGTCATGGGTTACTGAAGATGAGTTTGGGATGGGATATCTTGAACTGAAACCTGCACCGTCTGTCGCTCCAAAGTCTTCCACAGGTAATGGTGCTTCTCAAAGTGAACCTACTGGGGAAGAGTTTCCTCTGAAGCTCAGCCTTTGGATTCAGGGAATTCCCTGAAAGATCAAGCATTCCGAGTGAAGATTGCAGATGGAAAGTCAGAGAGATCTGAAAATGTTTCAGGGAATGCTAAGAAAGGTGGTTCAATTGCGAATGGGTCAGATGTGCAGCCAACAGGCGCGCAGGTAGGAGTATCACGATCACTAGATAGTCAAAAGCAGGTAGATGAGCCTTCAAACAAGACTGTGGATGAAAACAATGCAAAAGGAGTGTTAAAGTTATCTACCGACAGTGAGGTATTGCCTTTATTCTCCCTAAATCATTACACCAGTCCTTGGTATTCATTTAAACTGGAAATGAAGTATTTCCTTGAAGCAGAAACATTTTTTTAGTGGCTTTCTTTATCCTTAGTTACCTTAATCTTTCAAAAATAAAATTCATCTAAAACCTGGCATCTTGGTAAAAGAACCCATTCATATTATTGTCTTGCTTCCTTTGTGTTGTGCACTTTCTAATTGGTCTCTTATTCCAAGAAAGCCAAGATTATTACCTCATTTCTATGAGAGCATTCCCATACATGAGGTGTTTCTAGAGCTTGCCTTAGTTGGCATCATGGTTTTTAGAATCATGATTTGAAACTTAGAATGTTATGATTCTATGTTCTCAAAATATGCATCAATTGCCTGATCCTGATTCAAGTAGTATCGTAGAATTTTAACATTGTAGAATCTTAGGATCCTATGATTTTATTACATGTGATAAAATCAAGTCTACATGTTATTAACTAATTAGTTTCTCGTATGATTACATGATCTAAAATTAATTGTCACAAATTTTAAAGCTATGAAGTACAAGCAAGCCATGTATATTACTCTATACCTTTAATACCTTAACATAAAGAGTTGATGTTGTCAGTGCTAAAAATATGAAATAAGAAAGATATAGGACTAACAGAAAGAATGTTTTTGGGCAAGACATGCGTACTTAATATTCAATGGAATAATGATATTTTTAACAAATACATATAATCTTATTACATTCTGATTTTAAATAGCTTTAGCAATTCGAAGTATAGTCCTGATTCTGACAACTTTGCAAGGCATACAATTAAACTAGATCCAACAAGTTAGTATGTTGTGTCCTGAACACTAGCAGTTGTTATGGTGGAAATAAAATTCTCTTGTTGCAGAGAATTCCTTTACGAGTCGTGTCCTGAACACTAGCAGTTGGAACGTGTGTCTGTTTTCATCCATTTGGTAAAAATGCTAGTTATAGATTTTAGTTTATCCATATACTTATTTTTTATTACCTAAACAAATCTCTTATGGCTGCAAGCCTGCAAATTCATTTTTTTCTTGAGTTACGGGAAATATATACCTGTCGCAACTATCATGCTTTGTTTGGGAGCATTTGGGTTGGATCATTAATAAGATATCTGTTTAAGAAGTCTTCTAGGATGGTCAATTAAGGAATTCAACATTGGATTTTCTTGTCTGCTTTAAGTCTTAGTTCAAAAATTCTGCACAGATCCTGATCTGTCATCCCTTAATTTATCAAAAAAGAAAAAATTAATGTCTGATTTGGATTATGTTTGTACAGAAAAAAAATGCTGCTAAACGTACCTCAGCTGGAGCTGGTTCAAAGCAACTTAAACAAGAGCTTAAAGATGAGGCAAAGTCAGCCAAGATTGCTAGCAGAACAGGTGGTGCTTCTGCAAGTGAGAGAGATCATGGAAGCCATCTTATAGAGGGCAGGCAAACTGGACAAGCCGCTGTTTTGTCTGCCTCTGTTACAAATGGTAATTCAGCTCCTTCATCTAAAGGCTTGGCTTCTTCCACTAGAGTTGACTTAGAAGCTAGTGAATTGCGGGGAGAAGTTGGATCCACAAAATCCTCTAATTTAAGGGGTTCTTTGAGGGATGATGGCACAGATCAATCTGATTTTCCTCGGCCTTCACATGCTCGTTCAGCTCACTCTCCGAAGCATGATACTGGTGGGAGGGCTGTAGAAAGACAACAAAAAAGAACTAGTCCTGCAGAAGAACCAGATAGGCTACATAAACGGAGGAAAGGTGATTCTGATGTGAGAGATACGGATGTCGATGTTCGGTTAACCGATCGGGAGAAAACAGTTGAGCAAAAAGTAATGGACAAATCTTACTCATCAGAGTTGGATAACTCAGGGACTGAGGAATCAGCTTTAGGTTGGGTTGCTGATAAACATGTTGATAGGACAAAGGAGAAAAATAGTGAAAAATATGAGAGGGACTACAGAGATAGATCTGAGCGCAGTGATAAACTCCGGGGTGATGATATTTCTGAAAAGGCGAGAGACAGATCAATGGAACGGTATGGAAGAGAGCGCTCTGTCGACAAAGTACCGGATCGGAGGATTGAAAGGGGTTTTGATGGCCTTAATGACAAAGCTAGGGATGAAAGAAGCAAGGATGATAGAGTTAAATTGCGTTACAATGAAGTTTCTGGTGATAAATCTCATAATGATGATCGGTTTCATTGTCAGAATTTGCCACCTCCACCCCCTTTACCACCTCATGTTGTTCCGCAATCTGTAAATCGAAGAGATGATGATGCTGAAAGAAGATTGGCAACTACTAGGCATGCCCAAAGGCTTTCCCCTAAACATGACGAAAAAGAACGTAGACGGTCAGAGGAAAGCTTGTTGACTGTGCAAGATGATTCCAGGCGTAGAAGAGAAGATGAATTCAGAGATAGAAAGCGTGAAGAACGGGAGATTTCTTCGATGAAGGTATGTAATGACAATCAATCATTTGTTGGTACTAATTATTGCAATGAGTTTTAGCTAATTAATAAAAATGATTACAAAACAATCAGCAAAAAATACTTCCTTTATTCAACATTGACCATTTATATTTGTAAATCTCATTATGTAAATGTAAAAAAATGTTGATATTAAAGTATAAATTGAGATGAATCCAAAAAGATCCCACGTGTATATTTTTCTTTATGTATAAAATCACAATATACGGTCAAAGAGAGTTCGTGTATAGTGTAAAGTCAACACGGAGCAATAATTGTGGAACAGAAGAAGTATCATCTGCTAAACTAGACTATTGTGGCCTATCTATATGTTTTCTATATGTTTAATTTTATGTGTTGCTGTTTGATGTTGCTTTTTAGTGGGGATGGCTGCTTGCTATCAATGAACTTGAGATGTGTCAAAAACATGCTTAGCACAATTATATGCTTTACTTGATCTGTAATACAGCCATAAAATTTCCTTTTTTTTGTTATCGTAATCCATTTTAAGGCACATGTGTAATTGCCTATATCTTTCATTAATCATAATTTCTTTTATTTATCTATATACTTCCTCTGTTTTTTATTGCTTGACGTATTGCAAATAGGCACAAGTTTTAAGGTAGTATAGGAAAAAAATGTGAAAGACCAAATTACCCCTCCACTCCTACCCTTCCCCTCCACTCAGGCCACACATGCAGTAGTAAAGTACTAGTGTACTACAACTCACCACCAGAGCCGCCCATGCCCTTCACCACCACAACTGCGTACGGCGCACCACAACCACCACGTACTTCACCACAAACACTCATCTTCCCCGCTCTTGTTCAGGCCACCACCACCCCCTTCTTTAATTAAAAAAAAAACACCTTCGCCATCGCGAAAAACCACCACTAAAATAGAGGAACAAGAGAAGAGAGAAAATAACCACCACTGTCACATACATGAGCAATTTTTTAAGAAATTGAAAGATTGAGGGTCGAAATTTGGTTGTGGTGGTTATAGATCGTACATACCCATACTCCAACCATTGTCACCGGAGCAACTTTCAAGAAATTGAGACCCAAAACCGAGGATGATGGTTGAATTTTGGTGTATTTGTTTTAGATCTGGATTTGGTGGCCAAATTCGACCACTGTAGCCTTGATTTTGGGCTTTGGTAAACTTTGAGCACTTCACGGTGGTGGTAATGGTGCAACGGTGAAGAGAGAGAGTGTGATGGGAGAAGGGTGGAGGCCATCGTCGGTGAAGATGAAAGATAAGGGCGGTGATTGATGTGCCAAAAAAAAGAGAGGTGGTGGCTGTGGTGGCTGTCATGGATAAAGTGGAGGAAAGAGGGAGGATGTAGTGGTGGTAATGAAATATCAATGAACTATGGGGAATTAGGGATGACTGAGGTGAGAGAGGAAGAGGGAAAGGTTAAAGGGTTGAGGGTAAATAAGTAAAAGTGTAGTGTTATGTTTGCCATAAAAGGAAACAGGTTAAGTAAAAAGAAACTTCCCAAAAAGGAATACAAGTCAAGTAATAAGGAACGAAAGAAGTATATTTTTCTTTTCTTTTTTTTTTTAATTTTTTTTTTACCTTCAATCTTTTGTAGTAGTAAGTACTACATTAAGAGGGAGAAGTGACAAAAGGGAAAATATGAGTGAAAGTTAAAAGAAAATTGGGAAAAATCAAGTTAAATGAATTTGTTTCCTTTAAAAAAAAAGTTAAATGAATTTCAACAATAAAAGATACGTATGATCAACAAACCTTTTCATACTTCCATGTCACAGGATTCTTTTAGATTACTTACAACAAAGCCTTAGTCCCAAAATGATTTGGGGTCAGCTAATATGAATCGTCATAAAGAACCGTCCAATGCATTTTAATTGACCTATTCAGTAAAGGAGATTATTTTAATTGACCTATCAATTTCTCTTGCGTGTGAAATAATGAGCCTTTTGGTGTATTGAATAGCATGGGTTTGGTGTGTATCATTAAGACTGTCATTAAACAGCCTATCGCATAATGTAAAGAAATAATTATTGGATACATAATGTGAAATGAGTTGTTCAGGACAAGACTTATGTTTCTACTTTAGTAGTTTTCAAAATAGTAATAAACGGAATATTTTTATCGAATTCATCTTGCTACCTACTTGTTCAATCTGTTTCTCTCGGCTACATCTGTTAATTTCATTATTTAGGGTTTTTGTAGGTGCTATATCTGGTAAGGTGGTGTTTGACATTCTCACTTGAATTAACTAGTTTCTACATTGCCATGCAAACTTGAATAGGCTAATGACCAAGTTGTGGTTTTTTTGGTATGACATTTGTTCTTTTTTGTGCAATGTCTGGTAAACATAATGGATTCACTTAACATGAGATTTTGCTGATTTCTAAAATATTTGTTGAAATGAAATCAGCTTACTAGGAAATCATAATGACCATAAGTCCATAACAATGTTACGCATTGATTAATGTGGGAACTTAAGAGATGGTTGCGTTTTGTTACCTCCTGGATTTTCATATCTACTGTTTTGTTTATTGTGTCATATCATATTGGCGATTTGGGTAATGTTGAATGACTAATTGTTTAATTGTCATTCCATAATGGTATTTTTGGCCATTAGCTATTAGCATATGAATACTAGGTCAAATTTAGTTTTTCTGGCCTTGTAGAAAGGCATTTGACACATTGAAAAGACAGAAAAATGAGTCCCTTTGCTGCTAATTTTTCTTTTCAAGGTTATTTTTATGTGTGCCTCATTGTATTTTACTACGAAATGACCTAATATCTTCACTGTTGAAGGTAGAGGAGAGAGAAAGGGAGAAGGAGAAAGAAAGAGAGCGGGACAGGGAAAGAGCAAACCTTTTGAAAGAGGAAATAGATTCAACTGCAGCCTCAAAAAGACGGAAACTTAAAAGGGAGCATATTCCTGGTGGGGAACCTGGTGAGTATTCCCCTGTTGCTCCACCACCCCCAATTTCCATTGGCATTCCACAGGCGTATGATGCCAGGGAAAGAGGAGATCGAAAAGGTACAATGGTTCAGCGTCCAGCATACTTTGAGGAACCAGGTATGAGGTTGCTTGTAAAAGAACCACCAAGCAAGATGGTACGACGTGATGTTGACCCGTATCCTTTTTTTTGAGTCTTCCGCTTTGATTTAAAAATGTTACCAGATTTTTTTATGTAATTCTTTGTGCACTCTCATGTTAGTCGTTTCGAATATAATCCCCACTTTATGTTATTTATGCTAAGGCTTCACGTGGAAATTAAGAATGTTAATAAAAGTGAATAGTAGATTGTACGAGAGAGAGAGAGAGAGAGAGAGAGAGAGAGAGTTTTGGGGGGGGGGGTGGGGGTGGGGGTGGGAGAGAGATTTAATACGTCAAGTGAGAACTATAGAACTGTTTTTGAACTCACTGGAAATTTTAATACAACCTCTGTTAGTTATTAACTTATTATGTTCAACTTTGGAATATTTTATATCTCACAAATAATACCCCAAAGTTGCACATAATAATTAATGGAGGTAGTAACTTTTTGGAAATTCATTTTAGTAAAGCCCTTAAAAACATTAAGGGAAAGAGTATATTAGGGATGGAAATGTTTTAGCCATTATACAAATAAATTAAATAATAAGATAGAAACCCGTACACCTTTATATAAGTAGAATTTATTGCCAAAATCTTTCTTTCTTTTCATGCCCTAATCTCATTGCAGCTATTATGACTGCAATTATATTATAAATTTACTAGAGAGCCCAATCAGAAGATTGAAGAACTGTAAAAGCTTGCTGACTGCCGAAGAACTTAGTTTTTTCTTTGAAGGTTTGGGATGCCAGTTCTAGTTCTACTGTGCTCTAGTGTTTGTTCTAATAATCTATAAAAAAAATTACTGCGTTTCTATGGATAATTACTGCATTCTTTTTGTTCTGATTAGGGGTTTCAATGAAGCGATCTGAAACTCAAGTTCTACTCACTAGCTTGAAATTATGAAGCTTGTCTCAAATTTGATAACTCAACTGAGATTCAGCTGAAACTCCACTCTAGGTCAACTAGAAAAAGAATGCTTACATTCTGTTGCTAAAAAATTATAAAAATATTTCATTTATGTTAAAAATGCATAATTTAAAAATATTTATGTAATTTTAATCAATATTTAATTTATTTAAAAAATTTATCACATTGATTTTGTTTGCCTTAATAATAGAAATCAAAGATCAATATAGCAGTGATAGACGACCAGTCTGAAATAATTGAGGGCAGTGAGCATCATGCAGCTTCTTGTTTACACCATAAAATCATGAGGCATTAACCTCACACTGGTATAAACTATATAATGTAGGTAGTTTACCTATTGCAATTTATTGTAGATTTGAGTTAATTATGAAATGTGTAGGTGATTTGAGTATGTCAGAAGTTTTTGCTGCTGTGCCATTGTGACTATATCACAATGATGCATATATTAGCAAATTATGGACCGTATGTGGTAGGTACCAGTGAAAGCATAGTTCTATGCGGTGTGGCTACCATATACTTCCTCCATTCTACAGATATTGCATCATATTGACTTTTTCACTATTCACATGCTCTTGTTTGCCCATTTATTGTGATTTATATGCAAGGAAAAGCATAGTACAAAGTATATTGTTAGATTTGTCTGAATTTATACTTTTCAAAATATCAATTTTGTATATACTTATTGTGAATTAAACTTATTAATTGTCAAAGTTGTGTGTTGGGAAGCGTAAATACTACGTGGTGCAATTTAGTAGAATGGTTAAAGTAAAATTCTGAGCGTGCTGCTTTTTGAAACGAATAATATTTGGTATCATTATTTAATAAGAAATGTAATGAAATTTTTTTAGATGGTGCTTGTCTTAACTGTACTATTGCTTTCTATTCTTTATTGATCTATGTGATCCTTTAGCTGTATACTGTTCTATACCTTAATGGCATGTGACAGAACGTACGAACGTGATTGGGATGATGAGAAAAGACTGAGAGCAGAAGCAAAACGCAGACACAGGAAATGATTTCAAGCAATCAGAATGCTGTTCTCATTGTGTTGCTGACTGAGACCAAGTGTCAGTAATTTTTGTTTTCTCGGATCATCTCCTGCGATGTTGAGGATTTGTCCAGTGTTTAAATTTTATTAAGAATCTGCATTTTCAGTTTGACCCAAATGTGAGGGAGATCTCTTATGTGAACAGTATTGTAGCTGGATCTTTAAGTTAAGTTGTTTGAGCAATGTCCTGATACTAATTACAATTGTAACATAGAGGGATTTGGAATTTCCCGAAATTGAAGTTTATGAATGATCATGATTTTGATCATTAATTCAGCTAATGGGGATGAAGCAAAGCTGGATTCTCTTGCTATTGCTTGAGAACTGATGTACTAGTGCATGTGTTAACCTCAATATTGCACAAGGGAAGAGGACATATTTAGGAGGTATTGGAGTTTGATGTGCTTAGATGAATATAGACCTTGTGTTAGATTTTTATTTTAAAAAAATTCTGTTCTATTAGCTATATAGTCAAACAAATTACTTGCATAGAAATATGTTTCCTGTGTTTGTATATATATGTATATTAAAAAACCGGCAATTTTGATAATTTTTATGGCTTATCTTATTGCCTCTATATACAAGTTTTCATACATTCTGAAATAATAATTAGCTGTTTTGTTATTTCATTATAGTTTCTCTGTTTTTACTAGTACTCTTTTCTTTTAGGAAATTGTCTAATTACTTGCAACATTACTATATTTGGTAGTGTTTGTTGGTGGCTATGGCTAAAGGGATGGCATAGCCCTGCTCCCTGTCTCGCTCTCATCTAAAAATTGTGTCATATTATGCATGGGCATGGCCCTGGCTCTTTCAAAGCTGCATCCAGTGTGTTGAATAAAAAAACATGTCAACATTAGATAAACTATCCAGGACTCCTCTCTCTAGAAAATTCTTCTCTAAAAGCCCAAAACCTATCCTTCCACGGCCTATAGTTCCGTCCTCTGCTTGCCGGCAAAGGGTGGCTTTACCCTTCATGGCTACTCTCGCCAGCGAGCCTTGTAAGTTTATTAGTTTTTTGTTCTGTTTTTGGTCAGTTTTGGAGTGGTTTGGGCTTGTTTTTACAAGTTTCTTCCAAAGAAAGCAATTGACTACCGGCTCCGGAGATGGTAGTTTATGGACTCTGACGGCGTGGCTGCAAGAGGTTGTTGGTCGATTAATTGAAGTAATTACTTTGTTCAAGCCCTTAGGTTGCTGCTCCGGTTTGACTTTATTATGTTCGTGTGGTCTGTGCTCCTTTAGGGGGCTTCTTTTCTAGGGATATAGACTGGCTCCAGTGGTATCTTCGGCCTCTATGCTACTCCCCTTTTCAGTTTCCTCCCCTTCTGCGTTTTGGCTTGGGTATCTTATGGTGGCAACTCCGTGGGTAAGTTCTAACGATGTTTGTCTTGTAGGTTCGCATTCAACTATTTGCGAGAGTGTACCCTCCTTCAAATATGTTGTATAGCCAAAGCATGTAATAAGGTTTTAGTGTGGGTGTCTTGTATGTTAGTTTCGGTCTATTAGCCTAGGTTGTAATGCTGATTCGTTGAATGAACTCTTTGTCAAAATAAAAAATGTCAACAACCATTAGCCCGATTTCTGCATGTAATTGCCCTCCCTTTTCAAAATAGTTAACCCCAAACCACAATCTAAATGCCCAAAAACTACCCTTTGTTAAAAATCTTTTACCGATTGAATGATATTGGACAATAACAGAGATAAAGGAAAGAAGTGAAAGTAGTGTAGCACTCTGATTATTTTTTCTAGCGTAGTTCACAATAGTGAACTTGCCTATTTATACTTTATAGGTAAATTTTGTCAATAAAATATTTTGCATGACTGTACTTTATTACAAATTATTGCATTAGTTACATTGTTCATGTGAACATCATTTTTAATGTTTTCTCAACACTTCCCCTTTTCACATGAAATAGAATATGAGCTATAGGAAATCATAATCAGGATGTAAAAGTGTATGATGACATAATATTTACATGCTTTGATAAATTGCCACGTCAAAAACCTTGTCAGGAAAAATTAAGTGCGATAAAAACCTGATCGAAGGAAAAAAGAGTGCAGTGCATATAATACTCTTCTTGATTTTAGCGTAGGTCACGAAGATGTCGCATTCTGATTTTGTGAACAAATTGCTCAAATTTCTTTGAAGGAAGGGATTTGGAGAACAGGTCGGCAAGTTTATCACAAGATTGAATTTGCTGGACATAAATTTTCTCTTCCTTTTGCAGATCATGTGTGAAGAATAGTTTTGGGAATAAATGTTTTGTTCTATCTCCCTTAATATATCCTTCAATTACTTGAGAGATGCATGCCGTATTGTCTTCAAAGATGATGGTTGGATTTTTTGTTATTACGTTTATTCCACATTCTTCTTGGAAATTACTGATCATCGACCTTAGCCATATACATTCTCGTCCTGCTTCATAAAGAGCTATCATAACTCTGCATGATTCGAGGATATTGCGATCAATGTCTACTTTGTTGATTTCCATGATATTGTAGTTGTAGTGATGCCATAAGTGAACAGATATCCAGTTTGTAAATTGGCTTTTCGTGGATCTGATAAGTATCCAGCGTCTGCATACCCAAAGAGAGTAACATCTTTTTTATGGTTGGTAAAATTAACCAAGATCTTGTGTTCCTCGTAAGTATTGAACTCCCTTCCAATGTTTATATGTTGGTGTGTTACCTGGCTAACAAGTTCACATGGAAGTATCGAACTCCCTTCAAATGTCTATATGTCGGTGTGTTGCTATACCTTGCTAACAAGTTCACAGAGAAAACTATGTCGGTGTATTGTTGGTAGCTAAGTATATTAAGGATATGATCCACTTGCACTTAGTACTCATGGACCCATAATTTCTTCATTTTTCTCTCGAGGTCTAGTGGGTCGCTTTTTCATATTCAAAGAACGAATAATCATTAGGGAGTTGATTGGAGTTGCTTTGTCCATGAAAAATCTATTAAAACTCTTTCGGTATAGTTTGATTGATGGACAAAAATACCATTACTCAAGTGATCAATTTGCAATTCAAGGCAAAATTTAGTTTTTCAAAGGTCTTTCATTTCAAACTCGTCCATCAAGTACTTTGCACTTCTTTCAAGCTCATTTGAGGTTTCGATGATATTCAAATCATCAACATAAATTGCAATAATAGCAAGTCTTTATTGTGTTTGCTTTATGAAAATGCAAGGACTAATTTGATTGTTCTTGAACCCTTCTCTCATAAGGTACTCATTGAGAAGGTTGTACCACATCCTCCCAGATTGTTTCAGTCCATTAAGTTACCTTTTTAGTTTAAGTCCTTTGGGGACTTTTATGTAAATGTCTGTATCGAGTGATCCACACAAATATGTAGTCACTACATCCAGTAATCGCATTTGTAGTCCTTTTGAGACTGTCAAACTTACCAGAAATCATTATGTAGTTGCATCAACTACTGGAGAATATGTTTCTTTATAATCAATTCCTGGAATTTGAGAAAATCCTTAGGCTACTAATCTTGCCTTGTATCTAATTATTTCATTTTTTCATTACGTTTTCTTACAAATCTAACTAGTTTTACACCTGCTGGTGTAAGGATAATTTTTCCAAAAACTTATCGTTTTTCAAGTAACTTTAACTCAGCTAGCATTGCCTCCTTCCATTTTGGCCAATCACTCCTGTGTTGATATTCTTCCATTGTTCTTGGTTCAACATCATTTTCATTAGACACAATTTCAACCTCGATGGATTATGCAAATATTTCACATCATTACTATTCCAATGAATCTTGGTAGAAACATAATTCATTGAAATATCATTATTATCGATGACTTTGTCAACCTATTCGTTCCCCATCGGTTTGTCTTTTTGTTCATTCCCCTTCGGATTATCATCGTTAACTTTACTTCCATCCACATTTGGTATTTCTTGACCTTTTGATAAGGGAACATCATTTGTCTCATTTTCTATTCCATCTAATCTTTTCAATTTTCTTGGCTTAGAATCTTTTGAACCAAGTTGTCTCCCACGCTTTCGGCATGCTTGAGATTCAATTTTCAATGGCCTTATTACCAATCGGAATTTCTATACATGCAGGGGCATTTTCTGTTGGTATATGTAATTTTGTCACCTTGTTTGTGTCTCCAAAGGCATCAAGCAATTGATTTGGAACACTTTATAAATGAACAATTTTCTTGATTTCTTGTTCACACGCATTAGTTCGTGGGTCTAAAATTGATAATTGTGTTGCATTCCAAATGAGTTCTATTTCTTTTTTGCGTGAGTCCCCTTTTCTCCCCCTAAGGATGGGAATAATGTCTCATTGAAATGATAATCGGAATATCTAGCTGTAAATAAATCACCAGTCAATGGTTTAAGAAATTTAATCATAGAGGGAGATTCAAACCCGACATAAATTCTCAGCCTTCTTTGTGGACCCATATTTGTTCGTTGGGGTGGAGCAATAAGAACATATACAACACAACCAAAGATTTTTAAATGTGAGATACTTGGTTCTCAACCAAAAACTAGTTGCAGTGGCGAGAATTTATGATAAGTTATAGGTCTAAATCTAATTAGTGTTGTTGCATGTATTTTGGCATGTCCCTAAGCAAGTGATGTCAATTTTGACCTCATTAATAATGGTCTTGTAATCAATTGTAGTATTTTAATTAGTGATACAACTAGACAATTTTGTGTGTGAGCAACATTTATACTTGAAAGTAAACTAACATGTGACCATTGTGTAGAAGTATCAATTAAAACCATGAAATATCGAAAGGGTTTACATGTCGAATTAAATGGCCCACAAATATCTCCCTGAATTCTTTTCATGAATTTTGGAGATTTAGTACCAATTTTGTTCATAGATAACCTTATTATTAATTTGCTAAGTGAACATGCAAAACATATTAATTCACCTTATCGAGGAATTTTGACATTTTTTATTGAATGTCCAACTGAAATTGCTATAATTCTTTGCATCATCCCAATTGATGGATGTCCCGAATGATCATACCATAAATTAGTCAGATGTTTGTCATCTAACTTCTAGTTAGATATCATATTGATTTCCATGTGTAGAATGTTTTAGCAATTTCTCATAAATATGTTTCTTGCCATATTTTTCTGTCGTGAGGCCTAAATACTCCGTTTGATATGTTGTCATTGTTTCTAAATGATAGCCATTTTGGCGTACATCTTTAAAGTTTATGAGATTTCTTCGAAATTTACTCGAATATAAAACATTATTGATTATCAAACTTGTTCCATTTGGAAGCACTATACAAGCCTTTCTAGATCCTTCAATTAGTTTAGCTGACCCGAAAATGGTGTTTACATTTGCTTGAAACAACTTTAGTTGTGAAAAATATTTTTGTCGATGACTACACGGAATAATCACTTTTGATCATGTAACCGGCCCCACTTATGGGATTAAGGCTTTGATTGATTGATTAAAGATATATAATATGTGTTGTTCCACTATCCAAAAGGCATTAATATTAGGAACCAACTTCAGGCAGATCCATATTGTTTTGGGGTTTTTTGATGTCCTACGGGAGAGTTACAATTCCAAGACCGACCTCTGGACGCCTGTACTTGCAAAACAACGGAGACTCATGTG